CAAATATTTATGTAGGTATTCAGTGCTGTTTCTGTTTCTCTATCTCCAATTTTATACGAAGCAAAACAATAATATTCTGAGCGTTAAAATATATAAATATTTGGTGTTTTAGCTATTCAATAAAAATTATGATAAAAATTGTTTGGACTTGTACATGAAATACGCTAAGCTAGCGTGCTTGGTTACGCCATGCAGTGAGATACTGTGTATTAGTTGACGTACTCAAAAGTATAATGACATCCATAGAATAGTGATATTATCAACATTGCAACCGTGCGAAGCCGGGGCGGGTCGCTGGTACAACAATACCTAAAATGAAAGAAATTTTAAATTATGTGTTAAGAAAACATCATGTAAATACAAGCACATTACATACAAATTGAATGATCATATTGAGGGTGAAAGATGCTTGGAGACTGGCTGGTCCTGCTCCACAGGACAGTATACCTACACAAAAATAAATAATGTTCCAGTGCATTTTTGCAAACTTTAGGCAGTTTTCTTTGAATTGAATATTGCCAGCTATTTCTCTAACTTTCTTCATCATCCTCTGTTGTTTCTGGCCCTTTTAGGACATTCACCTGTCCTATAACTTGCCATTGGGCTTCCCAATGTGCAGAGCTGAATTCGGCTACTTTTGTCATATTACATACCTACGCCATTTAGCCGGAGAGAGGTTTACGCTAATTCTTCTTAGGCGTGATTTAGAAAATTCCTCTCATTAATTCATCATTATCGTATCGTTTAAATGTGGGAGAGCTTCGATCGGAGTGATACCTACCACAAAATGCCGGCTTGTAACTAGATTGATGAAAGACTAAAATATGTGCCTATCATGCGGTGTGGTGGCCCTACCAAGACACCCCAGCCTCAATCTCTTAAAAAACCACGCAAGGCCGGCAACACATCTAGCAAATCCTTTGCTATTACGAGTGTCCATGGGCGGCATTGTTTGCTTACCATCAGGTAATAATAATATGGTTGCTCGATTGTTGACCTATCCCACAACCTCCTCCAAATAATTCTAGAGAGCCGGTTCGAAATGACCATCCAGCGGCATCGTGTTCCTATAATAATTACTTACGTACATTAAATTGTTGTAATACTAGATTGATAAGAGCTGGTCTCAATATGTGAAATGTGTGCATTTTTAGAATTCCTTTTATAGATAAAATGTTATTTAATTGCTTCTGTAATTAGTGGTCGTATGCCACATGGCCACTGGCATGCGCTTGCGCGTGAACTCAGTATTTCGGGCTTTGGCCAAAACTGTGGATTGGTTTTTGTCTTTTTGCTATTGCTAAGTTCTCGGAGCTTCTTACAATAGACTTTAATGGCAAAAAATAATGTACCTGTAAGTCCCATTGTTTGTATTTTTGGGACACTTTGTTTGCGAATGCACATCTATAGTTGTTAAGCGCAATATGCGGGCGGATCGTCAAAAATGTTAATATTCAACTCTTTTCTGTAATGGCTATGGTTGAAATTCAATCAAAGAAACACAGTCAGGGTTGATGTACTGTAGCATCTGTCCATTTGAAAGAAAAATAATTTGCAAACAATATGTCAGTATGTCACACGTCACAGCTTTGGTTTGTTCAGTTGGTATGCGAGGCTTGCAAAACAAGGTTTTTTTCAAAAGATTGAAATTGCTATTGTCATTGCCTTCTTTCATGATAATATTGTGTTCTGGAAAAATTATAACACTGCATTTAACGTGTAAGTACTTATATTATGTTGCAAAGAACTTTTCTGGACTCTCGATAAAACTGAAATTAACTTTCAAAAATATCGTTTGGGCATATTTACGGCATTACAAAGCGTAGTTTAAAAAGTTGTTTAAAAGCATTACTGAAGTTGCTTATTTGCTCGGTATAAGGGCATACATCCGAAGAGAGAAAAGTACCTAGCAAGGGCTTTGAACAAGCGTTGTGAATTTGTGATTAATACCCAAACCTTCTCCGTTTTAGAAGAGGTCTTTGCTTTAAGCAGGGGGCGCTTATAGGATGGTGATGAGAAAATAAGTGTATATATTTTTAAAATAAAGCTATACATTTGAGTTCTCCTTCAAAGAAGTAGTAAACAAAGTAATGATAATAATATTATATTATTAATTCGATAAATAGATGTTTCGATAAGAAATTGTTTGTTTGCACTTTCTAGATGATCCCGTTGCCTAGTGAAGATAACACAAGGAGATTACGGTTGCAACCTTATTTGCTCATTTAAATATTGGAAATTTTAATCTACACTTCTCGCCACCCTTCTTTTTAAAATGGATGAGTTCTCCCGCCGTAGGTGGCGCGAGAGGAACTGTCAGACTCTTACTGTTCCAAGCCCATACCCACTAAACCATTACCCTCATCCCCTCTCCCGCATCCTCGGCTACTCATCCTGACCGAAGCTGGAGAGCGTCAGGCTGTTTTTTATTTTTACGGTATAAGTCGGCAATCCAGCAGACGGATTACCTGATGGTAAGCAATCGGCGCCGCCCATGGACACCCGCAACACCGAGTGCGTTGCGGGCCTTTTGGGGGTGGGGGTTGCGGATATAAGGATTGGGAAGGGATAGGGGAAGGGGAAGGATTGGGCCTCCGGTAACCTCACTCACACGGCGGAACACAACGCTGTGGGTTGTTTCACGCCGGCATTCTGTGAGGCCGTGGTATCACTCCGGTCGAGCCGACCCATTCGTGCCGAAGCTTGGCTCTCGCACACTTAAAACTGAAAACTGTTACTGATGAAAAAAATGATTTCCGGCTTCTGTCCTATATGCAGGCTAGATAGCTATGACTAGGTTCTCTCGCGACCTTGACACCTTTGAAAAACTGAACTAAATTTTGGATTGAGTTACTGCGCTTATTTGTGAGGAAAAAATCAGCAGATGACGCCTCTCGCCCAGTATGAGAGAGAGGGAGTATCAGACTTACTGACTACAAACCCCCCTGTTCCTTCACCTGCTTTAGGCCGAGGCCGCGGTCTCGAATTGTGCTTGCTCCGCAACCCCCGCTGAGATTTAGCGCTGTGGTCGACTGTCAAGCAGTTTAAAATTAGGCAATTTTATATTGTCACTTTTTGTTTTCGAAAAATCTCAGTAATGTCACTGAACCTAGAACTGTTACTGGTATTCGACGATGTGACTTTTTTCGAATTATATGTACTTTCTATGATTATTTAGACACCCCTGACATATGGTGAAGGTAAACATCGTGAGGAAACCTGGACTTATAATTTCTAAATATAAGTTTGAAATCGCCAACCCGCACTAAGCAAGCGTGGTGATTAATGCTCAAACCTTCTCAGTGTGAGAAGTGGTCTTTGCTCAGCAGTGGGCACTTATAAGGCTGGTGATGATTCGACAATAAGCCTCTATTACACACAACTTTTGGATTGGTGAAAAGTAGATAACATATACTAATTGATATGCACTATTTATCTCTGCACAAATTGCATGTGATAAGGTTGAATCTCTACGACCCTTGCCTTTTCTATTTATAAACTTATCTTAATAATTATCTTTTCTATGGGAACTGTTTTCATATTTTCCGCACTTGGATATCAGCAAGGTTGTCGTCTGTTTAAATATTTACACTTTTGTAAACTTAATTTGTTGTAAAGAACATGTGTAGGTAAATACGGAAGCGAACCACATAATTGGGTACTTCACACCGAAACCAATACATATATTTTTTTCGAATCGTGTAACTTCAATCTGTAGGAGCCGAGCAGAGATTGAAACCGCTCGAGAGTAGCTAGTTTGGAAGATTTGCACTGACCACAGACATAATTTCGGAATCGTTAAATCGTATAGTTGCAAGCGCAAAAAATATGGAAGGTGCAAAAGTCATTTTCAAATAAATATTTACTAGTTTTTAAGCCAGCTGTCTGTTTTTTGCTATCCACAAATGTTATGTAACCGATTTGAGGACTTTGTATTTGTTTGAACACGCTGTTTTTGACTGACAATAGGAATTTGTTTGTCCTTGTTAGAGGTTAAATAGGTATCACAGTACTTAGAATAACCTTATATGATACTAGCTACTCTCGCGCGGTTTCACCCGCTGCAGCGTGCTGCTCGGCTCCATTTAATCATAGCGTGATGTTTGATAGGCTATAGCACTTGGGAACATTGTAGCTACCTATCAGTGAAAGAATATTGGCAATCCGACCAGAGGTACAACAAAAACATACAAACTTACAAACATACAAAGTTACAAATTCTACCTCTTTATAATATTAGCACCTATAGATTCCGATCACCGAAACTAAGGAAGGTTTACTATATACCTCGCTTTGCAGGTAGTGTGTTTGTGGTAGTGAACACATTCGGCACTTAACGGGGCTGCGGGATAAGTGCGATAAGGCACTACTAAGGAACCGTACTAAGGAACGGGGAAGTTTTGAGTTAGCAAGAATCTGACATTCTCGCCCGTTGGGGCATTGACAATTGATAAAGTCATACGATATTATTTTCCCTTACAAAAATAAGAAATTCGCTGAAACATTAACTCGGACCGTGATAAGCTACGCTACGTTAAGGATGGTGACAATTTTCATTGTTCTCTACGACTCTACAAGACGAAACTAATTTAATATTTTAATCGTGGTAATTCGAGATACAATAGGAGAACAATAGGTGCGCAAACGCCGGCGTTCGCATGGGGTTTGATGAATGAAATAATCTTAGTATGTATTTTATACGACCTCTTTTATATAAAAAGACATACCAAGAATGTTTTCTTTAGTTAAACACCTAAAACCGATTGACCATACTCACATGATAGACGAATAATATAAACAACGGCTAGCTGAAAAATAAAGTACAATTAAAGCATAATCATTTTGCCAATGACCTTCTAAAGTTATGGGGCAAGGTCGCATCACACGTAATGAGTTTCAATGTATTTGTTTTTATAATAATTAAGCGTACAGTCTCGTGGATATTTTTGGCAAGTCATTAGTATTGAAGGATGATGATGATACATTATGTGCATACATAGACGCTGGTCGCTTCCAAACGGAAGATGTGAAAGTCATTGGAGGTGGCCCAGGTCCAGAGGATGATGTTTTATGGTTGATACGACGAAGATGATGCCAATGACAATGATTATGATCTTCATACGAATCTACATTTAGAACCAAACTCCTAGCTTCACTTAGGTACGGGCAGACTAGCGAACAATCCATTTTTGGCGTTTCAAAGTAAATTTAAGTATGATTAGGATTAATTAAAATAAATGCATTGACTTTGATTGATGATATACATGTATCTATATGTATGTTCTCACATTATGGAACAAATATGTATATGTCAAAATAGCATTTTCTATTAAACAACTCTGAGAAGAAATACCGAAGTCAGATTCTTTTAAAATCTACGCAAATAAAAATAATTTGTGAGAACATAGTAAGTCGATTATGTATTGTGTGGTATTTTAAGGCAATAGTCTGCAACAGTTTGAGTAGAATGTGAATCTACAACCAGCATAACTAGCTGTTGTTCCTAAAAAACCTTACATTCTTCGGTAGTTTTCACCATATACATACATCTGGCTAAAGAACATCGGTTATTTCCAAAAGAATAATAACTTATCTTAAACCAATAAGTTTAGTGTGGGAGAACCATGCTTGATGCTGATGAATGAGTCGGTTGTGAAGCAACGACAGCGTTGTTTTTCGCCGCGTGATCGAGGTTACCGGAGCCCCCATCCTTTCCCTTTACCAATTCCTAAATCTCCAACTCATAACTCCTCCGCGCTTGACCATGGGCAGCAATGATTGCTAAACATCACAGGGAATGCGCCTGCTCGTATGCCGTTCTATCACATAAAAAAAACATACAAGGTTTTTTATAAAATTTGGATAGAAGTAATGTCGATTTCGTATTGCCATTATTTATTGGTATCGGTCGTACGATGGCACTTCACCGTTTCCGATTATTTATCTCTCCAATGAGGTCAGCATAATAATCATTTGACTTTAAACACGACTGCAAAAACACTTGTTTATCGCATCTCATGTAAGAAGGTTTATAGTTAAACTTGGAGACTCGACCGGTTTAGTAAACAGTAGCGAACTAACCGGTCTAGACTTCTGTTTATAGACTGACTCGTTAGGAACGAAAGGATTGTGCGTGTAAAGAAACTGTTGCTAGGCCGGTTCTGCAATTTTTCTTTTGTATGTGTAGGTGAAAATATTATAAGCCATTTGTGTCGGACTTCACATTCTTAAAGATACCTGTTGCTAAACAAAGGTTATCTATCTATACCTTCTTTGTGTATCTAAGTAGTAAAACGATTAAAAAGGATCTAATCCTTGTTATGATCCCAAGAACTTTGTGTCTTGATAAGCCCTTATAAGTAAAGCATATCTTATCAATTTATTGTTTGCACTTTGATTCATAATTGCTCCATTTCTCTTGTTACAGTCAACAAACAAATCAACGACAAAGAGAGGATTGCGGCTGCAATGGAGAACCCGAACTTGAGGAATCTTGTTGAAAACTGTATTGCTGACGAAGAATAATCTAACAACAATGGCGCCCGACGCAGCATTCTCCAATATAAGTGACAAAAACGAATTCACAAAGTTCACAAAATTCTTAGCGTATAAAGGCGTTCAAGTTATAGTTGAATCAAGGAAAGGGGTTAAAATAGAACCGAATAGTAAACCACAATCGTCAGATACAGATTGGTTCAATCTCCAAATACCCGACACTCCAGAAGTTAACCAAGCAACGAAGAATGCTCTTCCATCAGACAGAATCCTTGAAACTATCAGATCACAACTTCACGTTGAAATATCAGTTCAGACGGAGGATGGAGATGAGATGGTCCTTGAATTATGGACGTTAGAGTTAGATGAGAGTCAGTTTGATACCTCCTTGAAAGCCATGAACACGGTATACTTCCGAATGGGGCTTTTACTCAAGTCTTTAATCACAGTAACGAGAATTACCCCCGCATACCATCTATCAAGGAAACAGAGGACAGAATCGTTTACCATATTCTATAGAGTTTACAATGGGGAACCCAAACCGAACGCCCTTGGCGAATCTGTCAAGAAAATACAAGCTGGGATGTTGAAAACTCCTCTAGGAGCTATATGCTTCTCAGTTTCATACAGAACCAACTTTTCTATATCCCCAAACCGAACTGAAAAAAACAACGTGTTGCTATTAAAGAGTGATCACTTTGAACTCAGTCCAAAACACGTGATATTTGAGTCGAAGAAGAAAAAAGAGCAAAAAAAGGAAACCAAAAACTTCGGACCTGTCGACCTAAATAAGCCATTACGAATGGCAGCTTTTGCCGATGAAGATATTGTCATGCAGGTCTTTGACGATTTCTTCACAAAGATCCCGGTTCCAAAATGTAGGAAGCGATCTAAGGCTCAAATCAAAAGTAGTGCTATAGAAATGCAAAGCACACGGGATCTAGACCACACACCTATTTCCAAAAGTCCAACCTCAATGGAAATGCCTCCGAAGAAGTTCTCAGGCTTCCGAAATGAGAATGAACCACCTCTTAAGCTCCTGCATTTTCCTTTTGCCGATGATCATCCAATCAGGGAACTTGCAGAGTTTTATAAGGACTTCTTCAACGCTCCACATTTGAAATTAGCTGACGATCTTGCTAGATCGAAATCTAAGAGTCCTGAATCGATTAAAGAAATGGAATTAGCCAGTGAGGACTTATCAAAGGACCTTGAATTGTACGAGAACTCTGTGCTTGAATTTGATGAGTTGATTGCTGAGATGTGCAGATCATCTGAATGGAGCGGGAATTAGGGGCAAAAGGCCAAAAAGATGGCATAGGATGACCCACTTTTTAAAGCGCTCTGTGTGACTTAAGTAATGCTTATGCACAAATGATTATATTGCGCTTCTAGTTCAATTATTGACAATCTGCATTGTATAAAGACTGTACTATCATATTGCTTTATACTAGTTTCTTTGACCATTAAGAAGTGAGTTGTCCACCAAATTTTTGGAGGTCGGTGAAGGATTGAAGACTGATTTATCTGGACGATTTTATAGTTCTGAGTGTATGGTATGGGATGTTTGTGATGGCAATGGACTGAGAATGATTTTATTTCAATGAACAATTACCTTATACTACATTATAATGTGATGTAAATAGAAACTGGTTTGATGAAGATTTTTGCTAATGTTTTGTTTCTACTATATTTATATTCATGTCTGTAAAATAGTTATTGAAATTATACTAGGATGGCCTTTATTGTCTAGTAATTTACTCTTATATTAATGCACTGCTCTCCATACTGTTAATAATGACGTAATGATATATCATGCTATGTATGTTTGTCGATTTTTGTTTTGTATTCTTGATTCGGTATATGGTTCCAAAAATGCAGTTTCCTCTGCTCAATGTTAGTGTTTGTATATATTATTTAATATACAATTTAGTTTGAATCGTTTTCTAATTATTTTAATTTACCTAATTTGTGTAAGGGGATTTTGATCTTAATTCTATGTTTAACGGCTCATACGTTAGGCGAAAGTCAGGCAATCACCGTGTATTGCCCGACGTTCGCCGCGTCCTGTTTCACGTGATGCTGATCACAAATATCAGCCCTAGTGTGGCTTGAAACTAGTCGGGCGTCCTCGTGCAATAGTTATGTAACAAATCAGTTAAACATTCTAATTAATTTCTCTCGTGAATTGTAATACAAAGACTTTTTTCCTTTTAATTTGTCCAGAAGTTGTAATGATATAGACATTAGATGAAAAAGATCATGTTACTATGTTTCAAAACTTATTTTAATGTTACTTTGCCCTTCTATTTTTTTTTAGTATTCTTAGATATTTTTGTCACTCCCTGATATTTTTTACCTGAATTTCAAAACCAAATTTTTCTGTCACCAAATTACCAGAGAATAAGGAGTTAGGCGACGTAAAGCGCTCGCAGCGCCACCAAGCGTTGTAAATCGCTGATACTTAAACCAGCATGAAAATAAATAACTATTATTTTCTGCAATTTTCTAATAACAAGAACTGATGTTTGTTCCTTTAGTTTTATTAAAATGGGATCAGTAGAGTAATGCGTTTGTAGGTATGAAATTTACCAGACAGCGGTATGATATCGCGTACGGTAGTGATAATTGGGCTGTGCAAGTACGTGATTAAAAGGAGGATTGTAATTAGAGATGTAGTGTTTTTTCATTTCAACTTAGATCCACAATTCAGAGATTTAAGAAAGGATGACTTAGCTTTTTTCTTTAATTTGAACTGAGTGGAAAAGGAACACCTCAACAATGAGCCAGAATTTGAAAATGTAGGTACAAAAATAGTCAAAATTCCGCCTAGGACTCTGCTGATCCTCAAAGTAATTTTCTACTTAGGCATTATTTCTCAAGATAATTGCTTGTAAATAGTTAAATTACGTTAGTTAATGAGTTATTAAATTCAACTTAATATTTAATTTTATATTCCTTTGTAACTTGTGGTACAAATTATTGACTACTGGTTACTTTTATTCATAGAACTTTAATAAATAGCATGATGCATGATGAAAATATAAAATGAATTAATATTATACCTAGTTCATAAATTATAGAAATTATTTGCTCACTTTTGTTTGTAGGTAGCTAATCGTCTGAATAAATAAAGATATTTACCAAATTGATTTTGTCGTGTTATTGTGTATAATTTACTGCCTACTCATTCCATAAATAATGCGCCAGCCCATTTGATGATAGGAACTTAGAAAAATGTAAAAACAATATATCTGCTACCTCCTACTAGGTACTGGAAAAATAAGCTTATACAAGTTCATTCAAATATAATTTGGGCAATGTTTTTTTTTTGCATTTGATAACTATAAAACACTAGTCCAGTCCCTCTCGTAGAGAGTTATATTATTCCTTGCTCCTATAAAACACAACAAAAATAATATTTGTCTGTGGTTAGTTTAGATAACTTTGATGAATTCCTACGTTCTGAATTCATAACGATTCGATATGCCTTTTTTTTAAATTAATGTTCTGTTTTAAAAGCAAATATCCGTAATAATATTGTTCATAAATATAATTTCTACTTAAATATTTCTTCCTTCCTTCATTAGTAAATAGTTTGGCCTAAACACATTTTTCAAACTCACATCAGTCAGTTTCCAAACGAAGATTCAAACTTAAAATCTTGAAATCATTGAAGTGTCAAACTGTCAAGCAAGCGACGCGACAGCATCTCAAAATAAACAACAGTGATATTAGATAAATGAATATGAATATAAAATAATAAGATTTTGATGAGAAATGTGAAAAAAGTGACTATTACTTCAAATTTACTTTTAGTTTCTAATTTTAAGTGGTAGTTTTAAAACATAACCTCAAAAACGTCGGGAGATCAAGATGTTTTCGATTTGCCGGCAAACGCATCCTGCTACAGGAATTGAGCATGCAGTTAGCTGCTGCTTCTTTAACAATGAAGAAACGTGTCTCGTCACCGCTGGAGCTAACATCATCAAGGTTTTCCGATTGTTACCCGAAGGACATACGAAAGAGGTTAACGCCGGTAAGATTTAGTTTATGGATTCTTATGATTAAGATGAAGTTTTACGATGTTTGCCATAAATCGTTAAATTCGGAATGTCCTCCAATAATTATATATGTATAGTGTTTAGTTGCTTCTAAACCATTGCTTAACATCAGTCATCACGATCAGGTCGCATCAGTGTTGCTTGTAGTTGGTCACGCAAAGGTTACAATTTTCATGACTAATAGATTAATTTTCAGTATTGAAAACTTATTAGTTTGTCCATATCCAATTTGTGCACTGTAAAGTAGGTGATGAAAGTAAAACCTAAAATAATACAAAAAAGAAAAACTGAGATAATGATAAATTAAAGCTGCTAATAACAATAAAAATTATTCCACATTTGAAATTGTAAATGCAGTAAACTTGAGCAGAGGCATAAATTAAACATAACCAATTTGCTGTTTAACATATTATATCTCTTGTTTTTTTTTTGTAAGAATATGTTAGTAAATTTTTTGTTGCAATCTGTTTGCTGGACAAAGAGTGCCTTTTTCATTTATAACCTTGTATAAATAATTCTGTATTTGAATTAATACTTTTTCAGCTGGCCAACCTATACCACCAAAGATGAAGCTAGAATGTCTAGCCTCCTATACATTATGGGGCAACGTAATGTCTATGGCATCAGTCCGTTGTCCGAGTGCTGGTAGAGATCTCCTACTTGTATCATTCAGAGAAGCCAAGCTATCTGTGTTACAATATGATCCGCAAACCGATAACCTTATTACGTTAAGCATGCATTATTTTGAAGAGGATGATATGAAGGTAAGATTTTCAATTAATATTATTATTATATTTAACTGAAGAAGTTAATGTATTCAATTCAGTAAGTAAATAGCACTTAAATCTTGGTCAGTCCACAAAATAATATATATTGTTAACAATTGCTCAAAGTGAGAATATCATACAAAAATAAGAATATCATATCAATAAAGGAATATGATGCATCTAAATTTTCTAGGAAATTTTTCGTAAGCTTTTTTTCTATTAGATAACTTTTTTTATACTTGAAATAGTCAATTAACATAGTGAATTACATTTTTCTGTTTATGTAAAGATGTATTTATCAACATGGAATTTACTGTTCACCAGCCTTTAATGGTTTCTGTCTCTTAACATCTGCAATCTGTTTGTGTGCAGCTCCTTATGGACATATACGAAATCTACCATATTATGTAATAATTTTTCGCAGAATGGTTGGACCACCCACCCTCACATTCCATGGATCCGAGTAGACCCTGAATGCCGATGTGCAGTCATGTTGTTATATGGGAAGAAACTAGCAGTATTGCCGTTCCGGAAAGACATTACGAATGAAGATGGAGATCCTTTAGAAGCTAAGCCCCTTGATAGCAAATTAGCGGTGAGTTTATTTCTAACTGGCTTTTTCATAAGTGTCATAAGTAGTCATGTGTGTGTCATAAGTATTTTGAGTTTCATTAGTCAAACTTAATTAATTTTAACGACTGTCTTCCATTGCCAGAAAGAGACAACAGAACACCAAATGTCTTAATTACAACATATCTTTTCTCTTACTTCATCTAGATTCTCATCATTCCTCTACAGGTATGGTAGCTTGGTGTTAGCTTACTATGGGCGTGTATGTCCTTCAACTCCTCTTAAACAACTTGACCAATTTGAATTATTTTTTTCTGTATCCGTTTGACTTGCGCCCTGTATGGTTTAGATTCACAAATCAGCCGCATATGGCGCTGATTGCTTGAAAAAGCATGTGATCTCGGAACGATTTCGCTGAATTTTGATGTGTACATTTTGCTTTGTCGTTCCAGCAACCAACGCAACCAATAAACCGCGCGCCTACATTAGCATCGTACGTGATAGTACTAAAAGACTTGGACGAGAAGATAGACAATATAATAGACATACAGTTCCTACACGGCTATTATGAACCGACACTGCTGATATTGTATGAACCTGTTAGGACTTTTGCTGGGTGAGTGCTTATATTTATTCATTTATTTATGTTTTTATACGAATTACCCAATGGTAAGGAATTCGCGGTAAGCTCCGCTCATGGACACTCGTTATACCAAAATAGTAGTAATAATATTACTATTATTTTTAGGGATTACATCCTTAATATTATTAGGGATGAGGGGGTGGGAGGATTGGGCTTCCGGTAACCTCACAACCTTACTCACACGGCGAAAAACTCGTAGGTTGCTGTAGCGAGTGTCCATTGCTGCGCCGATTACTTACCATTAGGTAATCCGTCTGGCTTATAGCCGTCCTATCACATAGAAAATAACTTTGCCACAGTTACTTATAATATAGAACATTTTGGTGAATAGCTACCATAAGGAGCCGAAGACGGTAATCATCAATACACATGTGTACCATACGATGATTTTCAACACACTTCTCAATAAAATAATACTAAATAACAATGATATTATAAGTAAAATGGTGTAGATAGGTTACCTAAACAAAATTCGATTTTCAAAAACGACACACTGATACACACTTGAACAATTCGTATGTTTAGACGTCTAAGTGAGATGGCATGATTCAATAATCTCGAGTGAAAAAGAGACAAAATATAAAAAAAGTGTGGCTAGTTGGCCATATTTTAATGTATCACTTGCTGAGCGCTTGTAACCTATCTACACCTTTTTACTTATAATATCATTGCTGAATAACTTCAAAAGAGAAAACGAGACGAGTGGTGACATATGTTTCGTACGTAATGGCGGGAAAAATAAATCAGTATTCCTATGCGCGCGCATCGGCGGCATAGACTAAAAATGATGATATTTTTTTTGGGCCATTCGCATATAGCATTTTAGCGCAAGTGTTAGCGTAACTAAATTAATAAAAAAAAAAAACTATTAATACTTACTAGTGAATATAAGTAATGAAAAGTCACAGTTTGATTAAAGGTGTCATTACGTGCCTAATAGCCGTGGGATAAGAGTCACTTTATGAGGAAGTGTGTTGAAAATATGAAAATAATTTTCTGTTGTTTCCAGACGCACGGCAGTTCGCAACGACACGTGCGCGATGTGTGGCGTGAGCCTGAACATGAGTGCCCGCGTGCACCCCGTCATCTGGGCCACCGCGCATCTACCCTTCGACTGCATCCGCGCCGTGCCCGTGCAGAAACCTTTGGGTCAGTACATACATCATCGCCCTATAAGTACCCACTGCTGAGCAAAGGCTTCTGCTCACACTGAAAAGATTTGAGCATTAACCACTACGCTCATTCAAGGCGGATTGGCGATTTCAAACTTATATTTCTTTACTTAAAAAAAAAAAATAAATAAGTTGCCTCACACAAGGATTTTATTCTGCGTCGTGTTTGTATTTACAAACATACAATTTCAAATACACAAGATACCCAGACCCGGAACAACGATTTGTGGATCACACAAAGAGTTGTTCCGCGCGGCAGCCAGTTGCCTAGTCACCGTGTCAACCAGGCAGTCAATATAGAAATTTTGACACTAGGTTTCTTCACTATGTTTTCCTTAACCGTGTGTCTAAATAATCTTAGAAAGTACATATGACTCCGAGAAAGTCGCATTGGTACTTGCCAGGTTTCGATCCCGGTCCCTCCCGCCTTAACCTCCGGGCGACCACGACGAGTTATTTCTTAGTTTCAATAATCTCCAAAGACCAATGATATCATATCACCAGCTTCGCAGGAATGATTCCTGCGCCGATCAACTTTATGTGATGCATAATTAGATGTTCCGGGTCCGATTGTATGTACATAAGTAAACCCACACAAGTAGGTATAGCAGGAAATCCTAAAAAGTTAAGTTAATAAAAAAATAATTAATAAAAAAAAAATGTTTCCCAATATTTGGATTTTCTTCTGTGTTGTGGGTGCGTTTACAACTATACAATTTGACATACACATCACATCACGCCCAGACCAAGAAACCACAATTTGTGGATCACACCACGAGTTGTTGTTGTTGTGCGGGAATCGAGCCCGCGACACGTTGTGCGGCAGCCAATGGCTCAGCCACCGCGCCAGCCGTGCAGTCAGAGTTGCCTCCCACATAGAGTTTAGTATCATGTACAAGTAAACAATTATTGATTGCGTTTTGGTTTTTTTCCAGGTGGATGTTTAATAATGGCGGTGAACTCTCTAATATACTTGAATCAGTCGGTCCCGCCGTACGGCGTGTCACTGAATAGTATAGCCACGCATACTACGAACTTTCCACTTCGTAAGTAACTTATTATTTTAATATTTTATTTCTAATTAGCGACCAGTCCTGTATTTTCATAGATGCAATGTATCTCCATCATTTAATGGATGTAATTATACACATAAATCTTCCTCTTCAGTCACTCTATAAGGTTACATAGAGGAAACTAACATGATATTAATAGAGCGACCCCCCCCCCAGGCATCCAGGAGGGCGTGTGTATAACGCTGGACGGGTCGTGCGTGGCGGGGCTCGGCGAGGGCCGCCTGGCGCTGTCCCTGCGCGGCGGGCAGCTCTACGTGCTCACGCTGCTCGCCGACTCCGTCCGCACCGTGCGCAGCTTCCATCTGGACCGCGCCGCCGCGTCCGTGCTCACCACATGCGTCAGTCTCTCTCTAGCTTACACTACTCCGTCCGCACCGTGCGCAGCTTCCATCTGGACCGCGCCGCCGCGTCCGTGCTCACCACATGCGTCAGTCTCTCTCTAGCTTACACTACTCCGTCCGCACCGTGCGCAGCTTCCATCTGGACCGCGCCGCCGCGTCCGTGCTCACCACATGCGTCAGTCTCTCTCTAGCTTACACTACTCCGTCCGCACCGTGCGCAGCTTCCATCTGGACCGCGCCGCCGCGTCCGTGCTCACCACATGCGTCAGTCTCTCTCTAGCTTACACTACTCCGTCCGCACCGTGCGCAGCTTCCATCTGGACCGCGCCGCCGCGTCCGTGCTCACCACATGCGTCAGTCTCTCTCTAGCTTACACTACTCCGTCCGCACCGTGCGCAGCTTCCATCTGGACCGCGCCGCCGCGTCCGTGCTCACCACATGCGTCAGTCTCTCTCTAGCTTACACTACTCCGTCCGCACCGTGCGCAGCTTCCATCTGGACCGCGCCGCCGCGTCCGTGCTCACCACATGCGTCAGTCTCTCTCTAGCTTACACTACTCCGTCCGCACCGTGCGCAGCTTCCATCTGGACCGCGCCGCCGCGTCCGTGCTCACCACATGCGTCAGTCTCTCTCTAGCTTACACTACTCCGTCCGCACCGTGCGCAGCTTCCATCTGGACCGCGCCGCCGCGTCCGTGCTCACCACATGCGTCAGTCTCTCTCTAGCTTACACTACTCCGTCCGCACCGTGCGCAGCTTCCATCTGGACCGCGCCGCCGCGTCCGTGCTCACCACATGCGTCAGTCTCTCTCTAGCTTACACTACTCCGTCCGCACCGTGCGCAGCTTCCATCTGGACCGCGCCGCCGCGTCCGTGCTCACCACATGCGTCAGTCTCTCTCTAGCTTACACTACTCCGTCCGCACCGTGCGCAGCTTCCATCTGGACCGCGCCGCCGCGTCCGTGCTCACCACATGCGTCAGTCTCTCTCTAGCTTACACTACTCCGTCCGCACCGTGCGCAGCTTCCATCTGGACCGCGCCGCCGCGTCCGTGCTCACCACATGCGTCAGTCTCTCTCTAGCTTACACTACTCCGTCCGCACCGTGCGCAGCTTCCATCTGGACCGCGCCGCCGCGTCCGTGCTCACCACATGCGTCAGTCTCTCTCTAGCTTACACTACTCCGTCCGCACCGTGCGCAGCTTCCATCTGGACCGCGCCGCCGCGTCCGTGCTCACCACATGCGTCAGTCTCTCTCTAGCTTACACTACTCCGTCCGCACCGTGCGCAGCTTCCATCTGGACCGCGCCGCCGCGTCCGTGCTCACCACATGCGTCAGTCTCTCTCTAGCTTACACTACTCCGTCCGCACCGTGCGCAGCTTCCATCTGGACCGCGCCGCCGCGTCCGTGCTCACCACATGCGTCAGTCTCTCTCTAGCTTACACTACTCCGTCCGCACCGTGCGCAGCTTCCATCTGGACCGCGCCGCCGCGTCCGTGCTCACCACATGCGTCAGTCTCTCTCTAGCTTACACTACTCCGTCCGCACCGTGCGCAGCTTCCATCTGGACCGCGCCGCCGCGTCCGTGCTCACCACATGCGTCAGTCTCTCTCTAGCTTACACTACTCCGTCCGCACCGTGCGCAGCTTCCATCTGGACCGCGCCGCCGCGTCCGTGCTCACCACATGCGTCAGTCTCTCTCTAGCTTACACTACTCCGTCCGCACCGTGCGCAGCTTCCATCTGGACCGCGCCGCCGCGTCCGTGCTCACCACATGCGTCAGTCTCTCTCTAGCTTACACTACTCCGTCCGCACCGTGCGCAGCTTCCATCTGGACCGCGCCGCCGCGTCCGTGCTCACCACATGCGTCAGTCTCTCTCTAGCTTACACTACTCCGTCCGCACCGTGCGCAGCTTCCATCTGGACCGCGCCGCCGCGTCCGTGCTCACCACATGCGTCAGTCTCTCTCTAGCTTACACTACTCCGTCCGCACCGTGCGCAGCTTCCATCTGGACCGCGCCGCCGCGTCCGTGCTCACCACATGCGTCAGTCTCTCTCTAGCTTACACTACTCCGTCCGCACCGTGCGCAGCTTCCATCTGGACCGCGCCGCCGCGTCCGTGCTCACCACATGCGTCAGTCTCTCTCTAGCTTACACTACTCCGTCCGCACCGTGCGCAGCTTCCATCTGGACCGCGCCGCCGCGTCCGTGCTCACCACATGCGTCAGTCTCTCTCTAGCTTACACTACTCCGTCCGCACCGTGCGCAGCTTCCATCTGGACCGCGCCGCCGCGTCCGTGCTCACCACATGCGTCAGTCTCTCTCTAGCTTACACTACTCCGTCCGCACCGTGCGCAGCTTCCATCTGGACCGCGCCGCCGCGTCCGTGCTCACCACATGCGTCAGTCTCTCTCTAGCTTACACTACTCCGTCCGCACCGTGCGCAGCTTCCATCTGGACCGCGCCGCCGCGTCCGTGCTCACCACATGCGTCAGTCTCTCTCTAGCTTACACTACTCCGTCCGCACCGTGCGCAGCTTCCATCTGGACCGCGCCGCCGCGTCCGTGCTCACCACATGCGTCAGTCTCTCTCTAGCTTACACTACTCCGTCCGCACCGTGCGCAGCTTCCATCTGGACCGCGCCGCCGCGTCCGTGCTCACCACATGCGTCAGTCTCTCTCTAGCTTACACTACTCCGTCCGCACCGTGCGCAGCTTCCATCTGGACCGCGCCGCCGCGTCCGTGCTCACCACATGCGTCAGTCTCTCTCTAGCTTACACTACTCCGTCCGCACCGTGCGCAGCTTCCATCTGGACCGCGCCGCCGCGTCCGTGCTCACCACATGCGTCAGTCTCTCTCTAGCTTACACTACTCCGTCCGCACCGTGCGCAGCTTCCATCTGGACCGCGCCGCCGCGTCCGTGCTCACCACATGCGTCAGTCTCTCTCTAGCTTACACTACTCCGTCCGCACCGTGCGCAGCTTCCATCTGGACCGCGCCGCCGCGTCCGTGCTCACCACATGCGTCAGTCTCTCTCTAGCTTACACTACTCCGTCCGCACCGTGCGCAGCTTCCATCTGGACCGCGCCGCCGCGTCCGTGCTCACCACATGCGTCAGTCTCTCTCTAGCTTACACTACTCCGTCCGCACCGTGCGCAGCTTCCATCTGGACCGCGCCGCCGCGTCCGTGCTCACCACATGCGTCAGTCTCTCTCTAGCTTACACTACTCCGTCCGCACCGTGCGCAGCTTCCATCTGGACCGCGCCGCCGCGTCCGTGCTCACCACATGCGTCAGTCTCTCTCTAGCTTACACTACTCCGTCCGCACCGTGCGCAGCTTCCATCTGGACCGCGCCGCCGCGTCCGTGCTCACCACATGCGTCAGTCTCTCTCTAGCTTACACTACTCCGTCCGCACCGTGCGCAGCTTCCATCTGGACCGCGCCGCCGCGTCCGTGCTCACCACATGCGTCAGTCTCTCTCTAGCTTACACTACTCCGTCCGCACCGTGCGCAGCTTCCATCTGGACCGCGCCGCCGCGTCCGTGCTCACCACATGCGTCAGTCTCTCTCTAGCTTACACTACTCCGTCCGCACCGTGCGCAGCTTCCATCTGGACCGCGCCGCCGCGTCCGTGCTCACCACATGCGTCAGTCTCTCTCTAGCTTACACTACTCCGTCCGCACCGTGCGCAGCTTCCATCTGGACCGCGCCGCCGCGTCCGTGCTCACCACATGCGTCAGTCTCTCTCTAGCTTACACTACTCCGTCCGCACCGTGCGCAGCTTCCATCTGGACCGCGCCGCCGCGTCCGTGCTCACCACATGCGTCAGTCTCTCTCTAGCTTACACTACTCCGTCCGCACCGTGCGCAGCTTCCATCTGGACCGCGCCGCCGCGTCCGTGCTCACCACATGCGTCAGTCTCTCTCTAGCTTACACTACTCCGTCCGCACCGTGCGCAGCTTCCATCTGGACCGCGCCGCCGCGTCCGTGCTCACCACATGCGTCAGTCTCTCTCTAGCTTACACTACTCCGTCCGCACCGTGCGCAGCTTCCATCTGGACCGCGCCGCCGCGTCCGTGCTCACCACATGCGTCAGTCTCTCTCTAGCTTACACTACTCCGTCCGCACCGTGCGCAGCTTCCATCTGGACCGCGCCGCCGCGTCCGTGCTCACCACATGCGTCAGTCTCTCTCTAGCTTACACTACTCCGTCCGCACCGTGCGCAGCTTCCATCTGGACCGCGCCGCCGCGTCCGTGCTCACCACATGCGTCAGTCTCTCTCTAGCTTACACTACTCCGTCCGCACCGTGCGCAGCTTCCATCTGGACCGCGCCGCCGCGTCCGTGCTCACCACATGCGTCAGTCTCTCTCTAGCTTACACTACTCCGTCCGCACCGTGCGCAGCTTCCATCTGGACCGCGCCGCCGCGTCCGTGCTCACCACATGCGTCAGTCTCTCTCTAGCTTACACTACTCCGTCCGCACCGTGCGCAGCTTCCATCTGGACCGCGCCGCCGCGTCCGTGCTCACCACATGCGTCAGTCTCTCTCTAGCTTACACTACTCCGTCCGCACCGTGCGCAGCTTCCATCTGGACCGCGCCGCCGCGTCCGTGCTCACCACATGCGTCAGTCTCTCTCTAGCTTACACTACTCCGTCCGCACCGTGCGCAGCTTCCATCTGGACCGCGCCGCCGCGTCCGTGCTCACCACATGCGTCAGTCTCTCTCTAGCTTACACTACTCCGTCCGCACCGTGCGCAGCTTCCATCTGGACCGCGCCGCCGCGTCCGTGCTCACCACATGCGTCAGTCTCTCTCTAGCTTACACTACTCCGTCCGCACCGTGCGCAGCTTCCATCTGGACCGCGCCGCCGCGTCCGTGCTCACCACATGCGTCAGTCTCTCTCTAGCTTACACTACTCCGTCCGCACCGTGCGCAGCTTCCATCTGGACCGCGCCGCCGCGTCCGTGCTCACCACATGCGTCAGTCTCTCTCTAGCTTACACTACTCCGTCCGCACCGTGCGCAGCTTCCATCTGGACCGCGCCGCCGCGTCCGTGCTCACCACATGCGTCAGTCTCTCTCTAGCTTACACTACTCCGTCCGCACCGTGCGCAGCTTCCATCTGGACCGCGCCGCCGCGTCCGTGCTCACCACATGCGTCAGTCTCTCTCTAGCTTACACTACTCCGTCCGCACCGTGCGCAGCTTCCATCTGGACCGCGCCGCCGCGTCCGTGCTCACCACATGCGTCAGTCTCTCTCTAGCTTACACTACTCCGTCCGCACCGTGCGCAGCTTCCATCTGGACCGCGCCGCCGCGTCCGTGCTCACCACATGCGTCAGTCTCTCTCTAGCTTACACTACTCCGTCCGCACCGTGCGCAGCTTCCATCTGGACCGCGCCGCCGCGTCCGTGCTCACCACATGCGTCAGTCTCTCTCTAGCTTACACTACTCCGTCCGCACCGTGCGCAGCTTCCATCTGGACCGCGCCGCCGCGTCCGTGCTCACCACATGCGTCAGTCTCTCTCTAGCTTACACTACTCCGTCCGCACCGTGCGCAGCTTCCATCTGGACCGCGCCGCCGCGTCCGTGCTCACCACATGCGTCAGTCTCTCTCTAGCTTACACTACTCCGTCCGCACCGTGCGCAGCTTCCATCTGGACCGCGCCGCCGCGTCCGTGCTCACCACATGCGTCAGTCTCTCTCTAGCTTACACTACTCCGTCCGCACCGTGCGCAGCTTCCATCTGGACCGCGCCGCCGCGTCCGTGCTCACCACATGCGTCAGTCTCTCTCTAGCTTACACTACTCCGTCCGCACCGTGCGCAGCTTCCATCTGGACCGCGCCGCCGCGTCCGTGCTCACCACATGCGTCAGTCTCTCTCTAGCTTACACTACTCCGTCCGCACCGTGCGCAGCTTCCATCTGGACCGCGCCGCCGCGTCCGTGCTCACCACATGCGTCAGTCTCTCTCTAGCTTACACTACTCCGTCCGCACCGTGCGCAGCTTCCATCTGGACCGCGCCGCCGCGTCCGTGCTCACCACATGCGTCAGTCTCTCTCTAGCTTACACTACTCCGTCCGCACCGTGCGCAGCTTCCATCTGGACCGCGCCGCCGCGTCCGTGCTCACCACATGCGTCAGTCTCTCTCTAGCTTACACTACTCCGTCCGCACCGTGCGCAGCTTCCATCTGGACCGCGCCGCCGCGTCCGTGCTCACCACATGCGTCAGTCTTTCTCCAGCTTATATCGACGTCACGACACCTTCAGTCACCATAAGTAACATAGTCTGACTCAACATAACGTAACGAGACGTGACGTGACGAAAAGTTACATAGTATAACTCTACATGACATGACGTGACGTAATGTAAAGTGACGATACATAACGTAACGTTACGAGCAGAGTAACATAGTGTTACTCTACATGACAGCGAAACGTGATGTAAAGTGAAGTTACATAACGTGACTTGACAAAAAGTTACAAAGTGTAACTCAACATGACTTAACGTGATGTAAAGTGACGTTACATAACGTGACGTGACGAAACGTAACATATTGTAACTTAACACGGCATAACGTAACGTAATGAAAAGTGACGTTACATAACGTGACGTGACAAAAAGTAATCTAATGCAACGGAACGTAACAAAATGAGACTTGACATAATGAAACGTGACGTGACGTACTATGAAGTTTTAACTGATAGTCCTAGCAAAGATTTACCGAATTGCACGCAGAATAAAATGCACAGAATTTAATTTTTATAATGAAACGGGTTTAGGCCTCAAGTTATGTCACTAATCCGGCGAAACACAACGCTATGCCGTGAAGCCGTGATGTCACTCCGTTCGTGCCGAAGCATGGCTTTCCTACACTTAACGTAAAAATATATTTTTTTACTTGCAATAGATTAGTGCTTGACTGCGATCCCACCTGATGGTAAGCAGTGATGCAATCGTTGATGGTAAAGCGCACTAGTTTATTAAGAGCCTATTCACTCTAGCCTTGAAGACACCAAAATTGTATTCGGACGGAAAGACTGCAGCCGGCAAACTGTTCCAATCCTTCGATGTACGCGGTATAAATGACGAGGCAAAACGCTTAGTCTGGGCCGCAGATGTCTCAACAACGAAAATTTAAACAAAATATAAGTTAATACGGATCATTATTATTCTTATAATGTACAAACAATATCTTTACAGATGTGTGTCATAGAAGAAGACTTCCTTTTCCTTGGTTCTCGGCTCGGCAACTCTTTGCTCCTAAGAGTTACGGAGAGAGAGAATAGAATGTTATTCTCCGTTGACAAACCTTTGGAAGCTACTGTCGATCTCACCGTGTCGGAAAATGGTAAGGGAATATTTATAATACTTTTTTTTTTATTAACGTACACCAACGTTTTGGTAGCTCCCCTAGTGATGCGGGTGTCAAAGTTTGAAATTGCTAATCCATCCTGATGAGGCATGATTAGTACTTAAACCTTTTCCGTGTGAGAAGAGGCCTTTGCTCAGCAGTAAGCACTTAAAGGCTGATGGCGACTAACTTTCTTAATAAAAAAAAACGTTGCCCCACACCTGGACGCCCGCAACAACAGAGGAGTTACGAGTGCGTAGCCTTATGGGGATTTGGGATCATTGGGGGCTTTGTAAGGCATGCCCATTACCAAATAAATAATGTTTTCACTTTTCAACACACTTCCTCATAAAGTGGCTCTAATTTCAGTGCAATTAGGCACACAATGACACCTATATTCAAACTGTGACTTTTTCATTACTTATATTCAGTAGTGAGTAAATAGTTATAGAGATTTTTTTAATTATTGGTTACACTTACACTTGCGATAAAATGCTATCCGCGAAAAACTAAAAAAAAATCTAAATATTTTTTAGTCTACGACCGATGCGCGCCCCTAGGAAAACTGTTTAATTTTTCCCGCCATTACGAGACAGTTTTCACAACTTGTCTCGTTTTCTCTTTTGTAGTTTTTTATTAAGTCGTGTGTTGAAAACGTCGCATGTATTGTATACACGTGGGTATTGTACATATACCGTGCTCGGCTCCTCAATGCGCTTCAGCGGTTATCACCAACGTTACACACTTGTACCATGATGTACCTACTATTATTTATTTCTTTCTTTTTTTTTATATATGGAATAGTTCGGCAAACGAGCAGACGGATTACCTGATGGTAAGTAATCTGCGCCGCCCGTGGACACCCGCAACGGAGGAGTTACGAGTGCGTTGCCGACCTTTTAGGGATTAGGGTTTTGGACATTTAGGGATTGGGAGGGATCGGGGGAAGGGAAGAATTGGGCCTCCGGTAACCTCACTCACACGGCGAAACACAACGCTGTGGTTGTTTCACGTCGGTATTCTGTGAGGCCGTGGTATCACTCCGGTCGAGCCGACCCATTCGTGCCGAAGCATGGCTCTCCCACACTTAAATTCAATTCTTTCTAATGTAATATTTTTTTCCATCTCCAGCTGAGCATCAAGCCCAACAGTCACAACAATCTCAACAGTCACAAACATCCCAACAGCCACAACAGCCAAAAGACCAGGATCCAGCTGCGAAGAAACGTCGCTTAGACACAATAAGCGACTGCGTGGCCACCAACGTCATAGAAATAAGCGATAAAGATGAACTCGAAGTGTATGGGTCTGATATTAGAACGTCTACTCAACTTACTAGTTATGTTTTTGAGGTGAGTGCTATATATGTATGTGTTTAATAACCTGTGCCTACTTCGCACGGGAATCCATTAACCTCGCTAATAGTACGCATATGTGAGCGTCATCGGATTAAATTGAATGACAGATCCCATCATTTGTTTGGTCTCTGCATTGTTCTCACATTAGGATACATTACGGTAGTTTCCAACTAGTCAAATTCAATACTTTTATTCATATGTCAAAAGCGATACTTTTCTATGAAATTTGAATGAAATACTGAGTTATGACGTCATAGTATTTTTGCGTCAAATAGGTTACTTATTTCTTAAAAATTGGCTATAAAATATAGGTATAAAACTTATTGTATCCGTCGATCGCTGAATAAAAGTATAGTTATTTTTCAATATTTGATTGTATTGAAACGTCGAATTAATTATTTTTTGGGAATCTAGGAAACTACTCAATAATGGTTACTTAATGTTAATGTTAAATGTTTTTGTAATTTTTACGGTGTATGGTAGGTATGCGACTCTCTGCTGAACATCTGCCCCATCGGCGACGTTTCAATGGGCGAGCCGCAGTTGGTGAGCGAGGCGGGCGGGGAGGGCGCGGAGGGCGGGGAGGGCGAGCCGCGCGGGCCCCTCCTCGAGCTGGTCGCCTGCAGCGGACGCGCCAAGAACGGGGCCCTCACCGTACTACAGCGCGCCGTCAGACCACAACTCATCACCTCCTTTAACTTACCGGGTATGCTTACTTTTACAAGCTTTTATATAATTCTGTTTAATGAGATAGGTTGGCAAACGAGCTTACGGATTACCTGATGGTAAGCAATCTGTGTCGCCCGTAGACACCCTCAATGCTATAGGAGTTACGAGTGCGTTGCCGGTACTCGGATCAAGGATGAGGATCTCGGAAGAGATCGGAGACAGGGTGAGTCTCTCGTCACTCAAACGGCGAAACACAATGCTATGGTTGTTTCACGCCGGTTTTCTGTAAGGCCATGGTATCATACCATTCAAGCCGACCCATTCGTATCAAAGCATGAATCTCCCATACTTAGAAAGTTCTAGTCTCTGAAAAAACGTAATTTTATATTATGTACTTATCTTGTTCAACATTCGTCCTTGAGACGTAGAGTATAATGTTCAAAATTATTTGTATGTATCTAGTTGCTTCAATTATGTATTGTTTGTACTACACAGGGTGTATAGACATGTGGTCGATACTGGGCGAGACACCAGAGGGCGCGCGTGAGTCGGAGGGAGCTCATGCGTACCTCATACTCACTCAGGAGGACGGGAGCATGGTCCTGCAAACTGGTAACTATACACATTCAGACAGACTTTTATTTAAAAAAAAAATACGTTGTAACGTGTTGTGTACGTACTAGAGTGGGGACTCTAGGATTTTCTCCTGTGTCGTGGGTGCGTTTACAAACATACAATTCAACATACACACTGGTCATACCCAGACTCGGAACAACAATTTGTAGATCACTCAAAGACTTGTTCCGTGCGGGAATCGAACCACACGTTGCGCGGCAGCCAGGTGCCCAGCTAACGCGCCAACCGTGCAGTCAAAATTATATTTCATACTAGCTATTCTCGCGGTTTCACCCGCTGCTCGGCTCCATTTAATCGTAGCGTGATGTTTTATAGCCTATAGCACTCAGGAACATTGTAGCTATCTATCAGAGAAAGAATTTTGGAAATCCGTCCAGCGGTTCCAAAGATTACAAATATTTTTATAATTACATACAAACTTACAAATTTTACCTGTTTATAATATTAGTATGGATTAAATATATGAAAACTCATAGTTCATATTATTACTCATAGTTTACATAATTACCTTTTAGTTTGACGAGATGATTAGTTTCAAGTCACGCTAGGGCTCATAATCATGAAGAGGGATGGAGCTATACACCTTTTATAGCTCCATCCCTCTTCCGGCCGGAAGATTGACCCTTTAACACGACATGGTAGGCCTACAGTATTGTACAATATTAAAGAGGTGGAATATCGTCATATACCTTCACTAGTCCAGCCTGGGGCGGAAGAGATCGTGTGTCAGACATTTCCCGTTTCTTGTTATTTGTAAGTTTGTATGTAGGGGGTAATCTTTGGAACCACTGCTCGGATTCCCAAAATTCTTTCATTTATTGATAGCTAAAATGTTCCCGAGTGCTATAGGCTATAAAACATCACGCTACAATCAAATGGAGCCGCGCAGCGGGTGAAACCGCGCGGGAGTAGCTAGTTTCTTAATAATTAGCTAAAAATATGTAAAACTTAGTGTATCGATCAATAGAAAAATTACTATACTTTTATGTATAATTATTTTTAAATATTATATTGTATTGAAAAGTCGAATTAATTTATTTTTGACCTAGGAAACTGCTCAATTAGAGCCAACTTACCAGAGATATTTAATGTATGAGTGTAAATAATACATTTCATTCTCTCGCACAGGTCAAGAAATTAATGAAGTGGACAATTCAGAATTCATGACGGGGTCCCCGACCATCTTCGCTGGGAACCTCGGAAATAACAAGTTCATGGTTCAAGTTACTACCACCGCCATACGACTCGTTAAAGGTGAGTTTTGTTTAAGGAAAAATATTTGTAATTTAATGTAATAATAATTATTGCTTGAGTGGAGATTCGCAAGAGTTTGAAGGTGACTCGGGGTAAGGATGTATCTCAGTAAGATGCTGGTAGGGGTCTTCACCGTACTTCCGGGATTGCTCTGATAGCCGTGGGATGCCTCTCCTTCCCCAAGCAGCTCAACGTATGTTGCCTCCGTGTCGCTACATGCTAGCGGCCGTTTCCGGGGGCCCATTAATTGAGTTAGCCAGTCACCCCCTGCCTGTTTATCCGTATTTATCAATATTGGTCAGGGGCATGGGTCATAGTATTTCTATAGTTATCATCTACCAGTTCCATAGCCACCCACACCCATAACCATATAATTTTCAACCATATTGCACAATAGTCCTGCATCAACCGGGGATTATCCTTGGGTGCTCTTTCATAGTGCATACAGGGATAATTGCCGGCTGATGTCCCATTTCACTTATATTAAAGTTGTTCAACGGGCCTCTGCGAGTTGGCTTCGGCCCCTCGTACGCCTTCCAAAGGTCCGGGACCCTGTAGTCCCGTGAACGGAAACGAACATACAATAATAATAATTGTCACTTAATAATCTCCGTGTAGATTGAAAAGAGATTTCTTTTTATTAATTGTTCCTAAGATTTTCTTTTGATGTGCTTTTACTGACACAGAAAATATATCAAACATATATACTTAGACCTGGAACAACAATTCGTGGGTTACACAAAGATTTGTTTTTTACGGGAATTGCTGTTGTATGGGTGAGGTACCGGAGACGTAATCCTTCCCTCCCAAATCCTTAAATCGCCAAATTTCCAATCCCCAAAAGGCCAGAAATGCACTCGTAACTCTTTTGCTGTTGTTGGTGTCCATGAGCGGCGCTGATTACTAACCATCAGGTAACCCGTCTGCTCGTTTGACAAAAATGATTCTTGACTTTTATTATTGTCCTCCCATGCAGGCGGCTCCCAGTTGCAGACGATCCAGTTGGAATGGACGGCGGCGTACGCGGGGGCGGCGGACCCGTACCTCTGCGTGCTGTCCCTCTGCGGCCGCGCGCTGGTCCTCGCGCTGCGGGAGTTCCGCGCCAAGGACGGCGCCGTCAGTACCTGCTATCTTTACTAGAAGAAGATACCCTTCTTATTTTTGTGAGGGGAAAATCATCGAATGACTTCTCCCGCCCAGAGTGGGGAGAACTCTTACTGACTAACCCCCCCAGTTTCTTTTACTGCTAGAAGATACAAATCTGGACTTACAATTTCTAATAATTTAAGTTTGGAATTATCAGTCCGCCTCGAGCAAGTGTCGCGATTAATGCTCAAACCTTTTCGATATGACAAGAAAATTATAGTTGATAACGATGATGATTATTATTATTATTTTGTATGTTCCTTTCCACTCACGGGACCACAGGGTCCCGGACTTTTGGAAGGCGTACGAGGGGCCGAAGCCAACTCGCAGAGGCCCTTTGAACAACTTTAATATAAGTGAAATGGGACATCAGCCGGCAGTTATCCCTGTATGCACTATGAAAGTGCACCCAAGGACAATCCCCGGTTGATGGAGGACTATTGCGAAATGTGGTAAAAATTTATAAGGTTATGGGTATGGGTTGCTATGGACTAGTGGATGAAAACTATGGAAATACTATGGCCCCTGCCCCTGACCAATATTGATACATACGGATAAACAGGCAGGGGGTGACTGGCAAACTCAATTAATGGGCCCCCGGAAACGGCCGCTAGCATGTAGCGACACGGAGGCAACATACGTTGAGCTGCTTGGGGAAGGAGAGGCATCCCACGGCTATCAGAGCAATCCCGGAAGTACGGTCAAGACCCCTACCAGCATCTTACTGAGATACATCCTTCCCCCGAGTCTCCTTCAACTCCTACTCTTGCGAATCTCCACTCAAGCCAGCCAATTAAGGCAAGAATGAGGTGAGAGGGCTTGTTCCTCATCAGTGTTCACTCCAGCTTGTCACGAGGACTAACCGGAAAGAGAAGAACAAGACACCTCCCGGGAGTCAGGTCCGTGGGGTCGCCACTGCCCAACAGCTCGCCACAAGCTGCCTTGCGGATTTATTATTATTATTTTTAATTTCTAATTATATATTTGAAACTATCATTTCACTTTGAGCAAGCGTTTTGAAAATTATAGGGTGATCATTATGATAATAATTACAAATTGGTCATATAATCACGTCGCGGCAAATATTTCAATAATTTCAATGGACTTTTTACGACTTTCGTGTAAAATTAATCATAATTTACGAATCACCTAATTGCTTTACTAACTTTCGAACTTTCGCGTTTCATATTAACAAAATATATACAATACCGCCGACGTATCTTGGCGAGTCTGAAGTTAGCCCATTAGCTGCTAAACGTCAAGCCTACCAAGTGATTCAAATAATAATTTTCCGCGTTAATACCCGCGTAACTACATATATCGCACGATTAATAGAAAATAGAACTAACTCATAAAAGAGGGTACATCAAAATTTAACCTTATTACTGAGATATAATTGTTAAGATTCAAATACCTTATTTTTGAGTTATGGCTTTTTACTATTAAGCATACGATATGTTGTTACCTAATTGCTAACCGTGATTTTGGCTGTCCCACATCTAGCAAGAAGTTTAGTTTAAATGTATGATATGTGAGCTGACCATGAGTGTATGTCCTGCAGGCGTCAGGTCGTCTGGCCCCAACGCGTCAATCAGTCCCTCACCGCCCTCCCCTACTGCGCGCGACGGTGTACCGCGACCTCAGTGGACTCTTCTCTCCTCCCGACGCTGGGAACACGCAGGTAAAATTATCTTTTTACTTTGTACCTTTTTTTTGCAGATGCTACCAAACCAGAAGACGGATTTTTGGTTAAAGAAATTTTATTCTCATAAAATACTAAAGTCACTTACACGAGAAACATATAATAACACCCGGTTTCCGAAAGGCCGATTAATATTAAAACCAATTTAATCTCTTGTCAAGTCATCTGATTGGTTGACTGAATTATCAACAACCAATCAGATGACTTGACAAGAGATTTAACAGGAAATTAGTTAATTTTAGCGTTGACAAGCCTTTCAGAAACCGGGTGTAAAAGTGCTTATTATATTAACATTATTAGTTTTTTTGTTTATTTAAGTGGATACTTCTACCATACATTCAATAGTGGTTGATGGGTTGGTGGTTAGCGGAATATTATTAATACGTTGTTCTTTGAATGAATTGTAGGAGCTTACATTTTTAATTACCTGATGGTAAGCAATCACCCCCGCCTATGAACGCTCATAATACCAAAGGTTTATGTACTTACTATAAGTCCGTTGTCGACCTCTTGTGGGTTATTAGGATTTTAAGGATAGGGGTTTCTGGGTTGAGGATAAGGGGAAAAGTTGGAAATTACATAAGTATTATAGTACATTTATACATCTATATTGTAAATATTGTTTTCTTATACAACTAAAAACACAAATATTTTTTATCTTATATCATCTTAATGATATTTCGCCCCTCAATAATGTGGAGTTTTTGTACTATTTTAGTTAAAATTAACATTTATTTTAACTCAGGTGAAAGGCGAGTTCAGTGGTAAAATGAAAGGCAAGAACGTGAAAGCTGAAGGTTTCAAGCCGGGCGCAGTGTATGAACTCAACGACGAGGACGAACTCCTGTACGGAGGGGATCAAACACCTGCATCCATGGCTAGCGTGAGTATCTACAGTCTCTTCCGGCTGTCTGTCCCTATGTATGCTTAGATCTTTAAAACTACGTCACAGATTTTGATGCGGTTTTTTAGTGGATAGAGTGATTCAAGAGGATGGTTCAATAATTAGTATTTACTAGTCTATACTAATATTATAAAGAGGTGAAATTTGTAAGTTTGTATGTAGGGGGATATCTTTGGAACCGCTGGTCGGATTGCCAAAATTCCTTCACTGATAGGTAGCTACAATGTTCCTGAGTGCTATAGGCTATAAAACATCACGCTACGATTAAATTTTGCCGAGCAGCGGCGAAACAGCGCGAGAGTAGCTAGTATTATTTAAATTCATAGAGCTAACCTATATAGGTGCTTCACAAATTGTTATTTACTACCATTTGATGGTAAGCAATCGGTGCCACCTATGTACGCTAGATGAGGGTCAATTGCATTGCCTGTCGTTTGGGGGTTATACGGAAATAATTATTAGAGAATTTCCGAATGAGGTATAAGGGAGGGGGGGGGGGCTTGATTCCTGGTACTTTGGGCTATCTACTAGTAAATAATTCGAGTTATTAAATACCCGAGCGTACGGCGCGTAGCGTATATACGCCAATAGACCACCACATACGCGGCCCTGTAGGGCTCATGTTCAGTCGGGGTTGCGGGGTAAGCGCAATGAGGCACCGCGACCTCGGCCTAGAGCAGGAGAAGGAACAGTGGGTTTTTAGTCAGTAAGAGTCTGACACTCTCTCTCGCCTTACCTTCGGCGGGAGAAGTCATTAGATAATTTTCCCCTGACGAAAAAAGGCATATTAAATAGGTCCATTGCTCCTAATAAAGAGTTAACGTGAATATAAACGTGTTTTTACTTTTTGTATGACTGTTTATCATTTATATTTTTTCTCCAGATAATGTTGGCGGAACAATCAAAGAACCCGGGAGTGCCGCGTCGCATATCCCGATGGTGGAAGAAATACTTGGTCGAAGTGAAACCTACTTACTGGCTTTTCGTCCTCCGTCTCAATGGTAACCTCGAGATCTACTCGCTCCCAGAGATGAGGCTCAGTTTCCTTGTACGAGATGCCTGTGCTGGGAACAGGGTGAGTTTTTTGCTCCAGTGGCGCTAGTGTCGTTTTAAGTCTTTTTGTTAAATTCTAAACGTGTTTTTGCGATATTTTGTTGAGTTTTTTTTTACTAGTGTGTGGAAACTTTTCTGTGTCAAGAGCCAAGCTATCAGAGCCAAGAGCCAAGCGTTTAGGAGTGAAGGTCTTTTAGTATAATCTGCTGAATGTGATATTGAGTGTGAACTGAAAATTGAGTGTTCAGAGGTATAATACCAGCTAGACCTAAAACAAGAACTCAAAACTATTGGCGCTATATCATCATCATCAGCCTGATTTCGTCCACTGCTGGAAAAAAGCCAAATCCCCCCATTGCACGCCACTGAACTCGATGTTCAACTCTTCACATCCAAACATTGACGCCATTTTGTGAATGCAAACTTGAATGAAATAAAAGGTCGCCAGTTTTTGTTATGAACTAGTTTCCGCCCGCGGCTTCGCTCGCGTGGAATCCGTTTGTATAATTATAATGTTAGTAAGGATTTAACTTCTAAGTTTACATGTGCATATTCGTTTGCAACATGTTACCTTGTTTTAAACGACACACTGCGCTATCTATCGCCGAACTAGTATGAAGCTAACAATATTATTGTATGCCTCAGGAAAATCAATTTAATCCGGATTTCTAACTTTACGTTTGCAAAATTTCAAAGCAATCGGTTCAGTAGTTACGGCGTAAAAGCGGAAAAAACAAACTTACTTTCCAATTTATAATATTAGTAAAGATGTATAATGACTAAAGCGATTTTGATACGGTTTCGACAGATTCTAGCGGACAGTTTGGAGTCAGTCCCCATCCCCAGTGGAGGGATCGATGAGGAGGAACTGGGCAGCACGGCACAGAACGCAGACGCTGACAAGTGCAGGGAACTTCTGGTGGTGGGGCTGGGGCATAAAGGGTCGCGGGTACTCATGTTCATGCGCTGCGAGGACCAGCTCATGATATACCAGGTACGTTCTAACTTCTGTATAGACTCAACCCCTAATACATATACAACTCGTAATATATGGTAACGTAATACCTGAAGGTCGACTGTTAGACAATGCCTAAGGCATTAAGTCCGCCTGTACATTCTTTTGTATAAAGTGTATAAATAAATAAATATATGGAGTATATTTCTCGTTCTTCTCCATCGGAATCTACACTTTGGAACGAGCAATTAGCTTTACTAAGAGGACTAACCGACAGATTGACACTTTATATCTTTAAAAAGTGCCTGTAATGGTCTAATTGAAATAAATTATTTTAAATTGTCCAAGTTATTGAAGGGAGGGGGGAGGAAGGAGGAGGGGTTGGGTTCTCTTGTTACAGCAGTTAAGTTATAAGCCCAATCCTTCCTCTCCCCCAATCCCTCCTGAATCCCTAAATCTCCAAATTCCTAATCCCTAAAAGGTCGGCAACGCACTCGTAACTCCTCCGTTGCGGATGTCCATGGGCGGCACTGATTGCTTACCATAAGGTAATCCGCCAGCTCGTTTGCCGACATATCACATAAAAAAAAGCAGATTGTTGACATATGCCTCATAGAGTTAACAGACCACCACTGATGAGGCTTAACATTTGGGGTTGCAATTCAGTGTAAAATCAGAGTTACAAGGGCGGAAAATCATCAAGTGAGTTTTGTTCTCTCGCCCTGGTTGTGTCAAGAGAAGGTGTTAGACACTTCCTGACTATATTTCATCCCGTTCCTTCCCTACCCAACAAACCCCGGTATAAGTGTATCCAGTTTGCTCTCTTCGTACACTAGCTAGTGCGACTGCATCATATTGATAATGATAAGTCACTAAAATGAATCGTAAAACTGATTGAAAAAGAGTGACCATGGAGTTTCTTGCTTTTTCTTCTCCATCGGAATCTACACTTTGTAACAAGCAAATAGCTGTACTAGAGGACTGACCGACAGACTGACACGCATAAAGTTGAACCTCTTGAAATATATTTTCTTTTTTTTTGCTTGACGTTCAAAAGTGCCCACTGTAGCCTAATTGAAATAAATGATTTTGACTTTGACTTTGACCTTGACCTGGTCGTTTACCAAATAGTGTATCGGACATAATTCTCAAAACTACCAATCATTTACAATCTCAATTCAACAATCCTTCAATTCCTCAATCCCCCATTTCCCTAAAACTCGAATCTCCCAACCCCAAAATCCGCCTACCCGTATTCCCCAGTACTCGAATCCTGAAATCTTTTTGGCAATTATATTATAAGTAAAAAGGTGTAGATAGGTTACAAGCGCTCAGCAAGTGATACATTAAAATGTGGCTAACTAGCCACACTTTTTCATATTTGTCTCTTTTTCACTCGCTATTATTGAATCATGCCATCTCACTTTAACGTCTAAACATAGGAATTGTTCATGTGTGTATCAGTGTGTCGTTTTTGAAAATCGAATTTGTTTAGGTAACCTATATACACCATTTTACTTATAATTTCATTGCTTTTTGGCGAACGCCAAAAGGCAGCAGTGCATATTGTTCCACGTATAATTGTGGTTCTACTGCCTTTCGTATAGTGCTTTGATTATCTGTATACATTTAACTAAAGGACAACAATTTTAGCATGTATTTTTTTATCTAAAAGTTGTCTAAATCTTTACAATCAAGTAGTTACCTATATCGATGACGATCGACGTAATAGCTAAAATTAACTAAATTTAAATAATCTTTGTATGTATTTTTTATAGTTAACCTCTTTATTATTAAAAGACATGCCAATATAAGCTCCTTCAACATTTTCAAATCTCAACTGTCTAAATATATTATAGGAAACTTTTCTTATCCAAAGTTGCATTAATCCAGTCGACTAATATTATTAATTTCGAATAAAAAATAAAATGTTGAGCGGATGCCTACCAGGTTAACATTATGCATTTTGTCGCTATTAATGTTTTAAACTACCCTACCGGCTAAAGAAATTACTTATAGTCTATAATGACGTTACGATTGTGTTACGTAAACAGTTATTTTACTTACTTATCACGGTGGCGGGTAATTTCATAATGCAACTAAATGTTAATTTTGTATTTTCATATAAGTGGATTTATTGTCTTTTTGGGAATAAATGATTTAAACTCACATTGCCAACCTTTAGTTAACCATCTAGAGCATAATATTAATTTGATGAATGTTTTCACCAGGCGTACAAGTACCCCCGCGGCAACCTGAAGCTCCGCTTCAGCCGCGCGCGCGTGTCGTTCCCTTTCGGGTACAGCGCGGAGCCCCTGTCCTCGCCCGACGACTCTTACGAGGCCGCGCTGCTCAAGGAGAACGTGCGACAGTGCAGATACTTCAGTCAGTACTTATAATACACATATTCAATCTAATTATAGTTGACTTATTATCATCACTAGCCTTTGCCCTCGACTCCGTCCGCATGGAATAGTGACTTCCTGCAGACTTTTGGTATAAAAACGTCCCATCGTATGTCATTTCTCGAGTTCCAAATGTCTGTACCTTTCACAGAAATCGGTTCAGTAGCTTAGAAGTGAAGAAAAGACAGACAGACAGACAGAGTTACTTTCGCATTTATAATATTAGTTTGGAATATCATAATCATCATCCAGATTCCGTCCACAGCTGGACATAGGTCTGCCTAATTGCACGCCACTGAACTCGATGTTCAGCTCTTCTCATTCAAACGCACTGCGGATATCGTCAGTCCACCTAGCTGAGCGCCTTACATTATGTTGACTTTATATATGAAATAGTCTCTTTTCTGTATTTCCAAATATATGGTATGTTTGGCAAATTTGAACTGTGAGAGAGCTGGGTTGGCTCGACAGGAGTGATACTATGGCTTCATAAAAACCTGATGTCAAACAACCATAGCGTTGTGTTTCGTCTTGTGAGTGAGGTTGTCGGAAGCCCAATTCTCAATCCCTAAATATCCGGAATCCTAATCCTCAAAAGAATGTTTGCTCATTAGCTGACCAACCATGTAAAAAAATATTTGCGACTACCTAGAGATAATGTGTTCAATTGAACGTTCGGGTTGGTGGAGCAATCGGTGCCTTGAGTGCAATTTAAAACAGTCACATTGGTAGGTATTCGCCATGTTTGATTTAAAGAAAGTAGGCAGGTTTTAAGTGTGGGAGAGCCAAGCATTTTTTAATTCTAAATCCCCAAAACGCCGTTAACGTTTGATGTCGCTAGTGTCCATGGGCGGCGCCGATTACCTGCCACTAGTTAATCTAAATGCCGGTCAACTACATAAAACAATTGACGAGAGTACATTACATGAAGAGACAAAGTTTCCAAATAAGTAGTCAGGTCGGTAGTCTATCAGCGCCTTAAGTGCATTCTTATAGAACTGACAATGTTATTCGCCATGTCTCGTCATCTGATTCGATTTTGAAGTGTGGTTTATTACGTTTTATTAGGTAACGTGGGCGGGTACAACGGCGTGTTTGTATGCGGGCGGACCCCCCACCTCGTGCTCGTGTCCGCGCGCGGCGAGCTCCGTCTGCACGCGCTCGCGCACGACCACGCACCCGTCGCCAGCTTCGCCGCCTTCCACAACACCAACTGCCCACAAGGGTTCCTCTACTTCAACGCCAAGGTAACATACAGCGCCCCCGTCGCCAGCTTCGCCGCCTTCCACAACACCAACTGCCCACAAGGGTTCCTCTACTTCAACGCCAAGGTAACATACAGCGCCCCCGTCGCCAGCTTCGCCGCCTTCCACAACACCAACTGCCCACAAGGGTTCCTCTACTTCAACGCCAAGGTAACATACAGCGCCCCCGTCGCCAGCTTCGCCGCCTTCCACAACACCAACTGCCCACAAGGGTTCCTCTACTTCAACGCCAAGGTAACATACAGCGCCCCCGTCGCCAGCTTCGCCGCCTTCCACAACACCAACTGCCCACAAGGGTTCCTCTACTTCAACGCCAAGGTAACATACAGCGCCCCCGTCGCCAGCTTCGCCGCCTTCCACAACACCAACTGCCCACAAGGGTTCCTCTACTTCAACGCCAAGGTAACATACAGCGCCCCCGTCGCCAGCTTCGCCGCCTTCCACAACACCAACTGCCCACAAGGGTTCCTCTACTTCAACGCCAAGGTAACATACAGCGCCCCCGTCGCCAGCTTCGCCGCCTTCCACAACACCAACTGCCCACAAGGGTTCCTCTACTTCAACGCCAAGGTAACATACAGCGCCCCCGTCGCCAGCTTCGCCGCCTTCCACAACACCAACTGCCCACAAGGGTTCCTCTACTTCAACGCCAAGGTAACATACAGCGCCCCCGTCGCCAGCTTCGCCGCCTTCCACAACACCAACTGCCCACAAGGGTTCCTCTACTTCAACGCCAAGGTAACATACAGCGCCCCCGTCGCCAGCTTCGCCGCCTTCCACAACACCAACTGCCCACAAGGGTTCCTCTACTTCAACGCCAAGGTAACATACAGCGCCCCCGTCGCCAGCTTCGCCGCGTTCCACAACACCAACTGCCCACAAGGGTTCCTCTAATTCAACGCCAAGGTAACATACAGCGCCCCCGTCGCCAGCTTCGCCGCCTTCCACAACACCAACTGCCCACAAGGGTTCCTCTACTTCAACGCCAAGGTAACATACAGCGCCCCCGTCGCCAGCTTCGCCGCCTTCCACAACACCAACTGCCCACAAGGGTTCCTCTACTTCAACGCCAAGGTAACATACAGCGCCCCCGTCGCCAGCTTCGCCGCCTTCCACAACACCAACTGCCCACAAGGGTTCCTCTACTTCAACGCCAAGGTAACATACAGCGCCCCCGTCGCCAGCTTCGCCGCGTTCCACAACACCAACTGCCCACAAGGGTTCCTCTAATTCAACGCCAAGGTAACATACAGCGCCCCCGTCGCCAGCTTCGCCGCCTTCCACAACACCAACTGCCCACAAGGGTTCCTCTACTTCAACGCCAAGGTAACATACAGCGCCCCCGTCGCCAGCTTCGCCGCCTTCCACAACACCAACTGCCCACAAGGGTTCCTCTACTTCAACGCCAAGGTAACATACAGCGCCCCCGTCGCCAGCTTCGCCGCCTTCCACAACACCAACTGCCCACAAGGGTTCCTCTACTTCAACGCCAAGGTAACATACAGCGCCCCCGTCGCCAGCTTCGCCGCCTTCCACAACACCAACTGCCCACAAGGGTTCCTCTACTTCAACGCCAAGGTAACATACAGCGCCCCCGTCGCCAGCTTCGCCGCCTTCCACAACACCAACTGCCCACAAGGGTTCCTCTACTTCAACGCCAAGGTAACATACAGCGCCCCCGTCGCCAGCTTCGCCGCCTTCCACAACACCAACTGCCCACAAGGGTTCCTCTACTTCAACGCCAAGGTAACATACAGCGCCCCCGTCGCCAGCTTCGCCGCCTTCCACAACACCAACTGCCCACAAGGGTTCCTCTAATTCAACGCCAAGGTAACATACAGCGCCCCCGTCGCCAGCTTCGCCGCCTTCCACAACACCAACTGCCCACAAGGGTTCCTCTACTTCAACGCCAAGGTAACATACAGCGCCCCCGTCGCCAGCTTCGCCGCCTTCCACAACACCAACTGCCCACAAGGGTTCCTCTAATTCAACGCCAAGGTAACATACAGCGCCCCCGTCGCCAGCTTCGCCGCCTTCCACAACACCAACTGCCCACAAGGGTTCCTCTACTTCAACGCCAAGGTAACATACAGCGCCCCCGTCGCCAGCTTCGCCGCCTTCCACAACACCAACTGCCCACAAGGGTTCCTCTACTTCAACGCCAAGGTAACATACAGCGCCCCCGTCGCCAGCTTCGCCGCCTTCCACAACACCAACTGCCCACAAGGGTTCCTCTACTTCAACGCCAAGGTAACATACAGCGCCCCCGTCGCCAGCTTCGCCGCCTTCCACAACACCAACTGCCCACAAGGGTTCCTCTACTTCAACGCCAAGGTAACATACAGCGCCCCCGTCGCCAGCTTCGCCGCCTTCCACAACACCAACTGCCCACAAGGGTTCCTCTACTTCAACGCCAAGGTAACATACAGCGTGGGTGGGTGTGGGTGCGGTTGCAAACATACAAGTTCACATGCACATGACACCCAGACCTAGAACCAATTTGTTGATCACACAAAGTGTTGTTCCGTGTGGGAATTGAACCCGCGAACTGCACGGCAGCCAGTTGGCTAGCTACCGCTCCAACCGAGCAGTCAATTAGAATACGTCTGAATACGATACTGTGTGCCCGACGCACGGAGAGTGCGACGCACGTCCCACCTGCTGCAGTAGGCGACACTACGGGCGTCGGGGCTCGAGGGACGATCTCCGGCCACCGTAAGTACGGGCCTGCGGTCGGCGAGTAAGGGCAGCTCGCCGCCTGACCAGAACCAGGCCCGAGCGTACGGCGCGTAGCGTTCCGCGCGCGCCTCAAAGACCCAATAGACCACCACAGACGGGGCCCTAAAGGGCTGATGTTCAGCCGGGGTGGAGGGGTAAGCGCAATGAGGCACCGCGACCTCGGCCCAGAGCAGGAGAAGGCGACCCTAGGCGGGAGAAGTCATTTAATGATTTTCCCCTGACAAAAAAAAGGCTTACAACATTTAGGGCTAATTTTTCTATCGTTAGATAAAAGTTATCTGCGGAACAATTATTATGATGCTGTCGCGTCAGAATGTTTGTATTAGACAGTGACAGCAACAATTTTATTCCTCAGATAACATTTATTTGCATTTGAAAAATCAGTCCTTACAACACATCTTGTATTTAAAGTCTTAATCAATTCGAAACACAAAAAACCTTCTCAGTGGTTTAAACCTAGACCATATAAATACATTATTTTGTTATAAGACCGCTTTAGTCCACCATTCAGACTATATTATGAAGAAATAAATGATTATTTTCTGCAAATAAATTAATAATAATTTTCTTTTCCAGTCATCGCTCCGCATCAGCGCGTTACCGACGCATCTATCGTACGACGCTGCGTGGCCAGTCCGTAAGGTTCCTCTCCGCGTGACTCCTCACTTCGTGACCTTCCACCTTGAGTCCAAGACGTACTGCCTCGTGGCCTCCACCAGCACCCCTACTACTTCGTACTACAAGTTCAACGGGGAGGACAAAGAGAAGAGCAGCGATAATAAAGGGGATAGGTGAGTTCTCTGTACCTGAGACAATGAGCCTGTCACTCCTCTAGTATTGCGGGTGTCCATGGGCGGCGCTGATTACTTACCATCAAGGGATCGTATAAAAATATATTTTTTTATCGTTTAACATGTTAGTGCATCGTATAATCCACTTTCCAAAAGTAATTGTTCCGTAAATATTGTCCAAGTTTATCAGCTATACAGTAAGTTGAAACTTTCGTTCGAATGCGTCTATTAATTTTGGAGATTTGCGTGCGCAAATAAACAAACAGTAGGCGTTATTTTATTTTCAGTTTCTATTTTTCATCATAGTATTATTGTTCTGAAGGATATCAGCTGAATTTTTTCAATCTACCCTACATTACCTACCCTCCCCCTACTCTACCATCTACTATCTATCTACTACTAAACTACCCTAACTACCCAACCCTACCTTACTCTACCCTACCCTCACTACTCTACCATATTGTATGTTCTTTTTCCGATTCTAAACTACATCCCGACCAATTCGCAACGAAATTATTTCAGCCATTCTTGAGTTATAAATAGTGTAAGTAAGACGTGACATTCTTTTAATAAGTAAATATTCTTTCAGATTCCCATACCCACATCAAGAGAAGTTCTTCGTGACTCTCTTCTCGCCGGTCTCGTGGGAGATCATCCCAAACACTCGCATCGAGTTGGACGACTGGGAACATGTCACCTGTTTGAAGAACGTCTCCCTGTCTTATGAGGGGACCAGGTTAGTTTACTTCAATAATAATAATTATAGCAAAGCGATTTTTGTTGTTTGAGAAAAGAGTTTAAAAGTATGAGAGACTAGGGTGGAACGTTCCTCATCCTCCATTGAAAAGGGAGGATCCTCCAAAGTTCTGTCTAGTGGGTAGTGCCCGACGGTTGTTCTAATTGTGTAGAGAACTCTTATAGCGCGATGTAGAATCTTGCTCGTGATTGGTGCTGTTATTATTGTTGTGAGATAGATGTCGCTATAAATAAATTTAGGTTTAAATCAATAGAAGACTTTTTCTACGTCAAAAAAGGCGCACGTACACGAGTTACACAATCACCTGTGTTTGAGCATAGTTCCTTTTAAGAATGTTAAAAAACACATTGCCCCGCTTTAGGATTTTCTTCATTAGTGTCGTGTGGTTGCGTTTACAAACATACAATTTCACATACACATCACATCCAGACACGGAACAATAATTTGTGGATTACACAAAGACTTTTCTATGCGGCAATCGAACCTGATTGCCCAGCCACTGCGTCAACTATGCAGTCTATATAGTGCTAGCGGTCGCCCGCGGCTACGCCTGTGTGGATGTCGATTTACAATATTAAAAAAAAATAAAAAGAATCTCTACGCTATTCTCTGGACTTCCACGAATAATTCAATATCAAAATTAGCCAAATCGCTAAAGGCATTGTTGAGTTATAACGTTACAACGAAAAGTGGCATTTAATTTTGTATATACAGATAAGTAGTTTTAACACATAATTTGGTTGTTCCAGATCTGGTCTACGTGGTTACATAGCTATAGGAACTAATTACAATTACAGTGAAGATATTACATCCAGAGGGAGGGTGAGTTGACACGATAAAAACTATAATTAATTTATTGATTATTTTATATAAGTGTTGGAAAGTTTCGGTACGAATGGGTCGGCTCGACCGGAGTGAAACCACGGCCTCCCAGAAAACTTTACCGGATCTTTCTCCTCCATCCTTAATCCTCAAATCCCCTATTCTTAAACCCCTAATAACCCACAATCGGCCGGCAACGCACTGTTAGTAACGCCTTTGGTATTACGGGTGTCCATGGGCGGCGCTGATTGCTTACCATCAGGTAATTAGTCTACTCGTTTGGCGACCTATCACATAAAGAAAAAAAAATATTGACTTTATTTTTCTGCTGTTCCGACGACATGAGCAGTAAAATAAAGGATACCAAAGTCAAAGTAAAATAATTTATTCCAACTAAACCATAAATAGGTACTTTTGAAACGTCAAAATAGAACTCCACTCGGGTGTCCTTAAACCACGCCGATTGCTTACCATCAGGACTATCTTATAATGATTTAATTTTGTATAAAACATATGGCATAGATTTTCTAATAAGGTTTTATGACCTTTTATAATAATTACTTGTTTTTTCCTTCAGATAATAATCTACGATATCATAGACGTGGTCCCTGAGCCGGGCCAGCCCCTAACGAAGAACAGGTTCAAGGAACTGTACGCTAAGGAACAGAAGGGACCCGTCACTGCGCTCACGCAGGTGCTCGGATACCTTATATCTGCTGTCGGACAAAAGGTATGTCGAATATTATTATAGTTATTAAACATAAACAAACGAAAACTGGGTTTAAAATATTCGAGAGAATTTTAATTAATTAAATAAGTAATAGCCAGTCAATACGTAGTTGTGCCTGTTTCTTTACAAATAATAATTATTTTATATTAGCTGCTGTCGGCGGCCTTACCCGCGTTATCCGATTAAAAGTACCCTATGTGTGTAATTTAATTACCTTGTGTGTGTGTGATCCACAAATTGATGTTCTGTTGTGATGTATATGAGAAATTGTATGTTTGTAAACGCACCCACGACACAGGAGAAAATCAAAGTGTAGGGCAACGTTTTTTAAAGAAAAAAGAAAATAAGACCATAATCTATAACTGTGTTATTTTTTAATACAAATCTGTTTAATAGTTTTGACATGAGAGAGTACACAAAAATTGATTTATTCAAAATTATAACCAGCTAGGGTTTCGAGTCCAAGCGCTATAATGCTGCAATGTACCGCAGGTTACGATAATTAAATTTCACGCGGACGAAGTACAAGCTAGTACAAACAAAAACAATTTAAAACTTTTTTTACAGATCTACATATGGCAGTTAAAAGACAACGATCTAGTTGGCGTGGCGTTCATAGACACACAGATATACGTACATAAAATGTTGTCTGTAAAGAACTTGGTGCTTGTAGCTGATGTATACAAGTCGATCTCGTTGCTGCGGTACCAGGCACAGCATAGGACACTGTCTCTCGTCTCCAGAGACCTGAGGAGTGCTCAGGTAAGAAATAAATCAGTTATGAACTCCTCCCCCCCCTCTTAAAAAGGGTTACTAAAAATACAGTGACTAGCTCAAATTATTTTATCTTTATTATATGTGTAATTGGATATTCAACTATAGAAAAATAAACAATAAAATAGCAAAAAACTAACGTTGACTGCTGACCACTGAACATTACACCCGATTTCTGAAAGGCTTGTCAACGCTAAAATTAACTAATCTCCTGTTAAATCTCTTGTCAAGTCATCTGATTGGTTGTTGATAATTCAGTCAAGCAATCAGATGACTTGACAAGAGGTTAAATTGATTTTAACATTGATCGGCCTTTCGGAAACCGGTTGTTAGTAATACATATTATTTCTTATTTAAATTAGTTTTTTTTATTAATCTCATCGCTGGCTGACAGCGGAATTGCGAGTTGAAACGTATAGTAAGAAATTGTTAGTTTTGGTTACTTCATGATATTTGTCAGTGCTGTCTCAATAATCGTAGAAAGTACATGTAACTCACAAAAAGTCACTTTAGTACTTGTCAAGTTTCGTTTTCAAAACCGCACCTTTATACATGCTAAGTCTGTGAGGTCTTAATCTCTTTTCTACCACGATAGTATATTCTAAGGCTTTCTATTTGGTTGTAGATATACGATATGGAGTTTATGGTGGACAACACAACGCTTGGGTTCCTGGTGAGCGAGGCCGAGGGAAACCTCGCGCTGTTCATGTACCAGCCGCAAGCTAGGGAGAGCTACGGAGGTAATATATTCATTAAAACAATCTATACTTCTATACTATCTACTAGAATATTTAATTACATTTTTTTATGCTATAGGTCGGCAAACGACCAATCGGATTATCTGATAGTAAACAATCGTCGCCGCCCATGGACACCCGCAATACCAAAGGAGTTCGAGTGCGTTACCGGCCTTTTAGGGTTAAGGGTTTTGGACACTTAAGGATTGGGAAGAGATGGGGGTAGGGGGAGGGACTGGTTCTCCGGTAAACTCAATTACACGATGCAACACAACGCTGCGGTTGTTTCACTGGTTTTTTGTGAGGCCGTGGTATCACTCCGGTCGAGTCGACCCATTCGTGCTAAAGCTTGACTCTCCCACACTAACAATATATTATTTTCTCCTCCCAGGTCAGCGTCTAATCCGCAAGAGTGATTACCATCTAGGCCAACAGGTCAACGCAATGTTCAGAATCAACGCTCGCCCTGACCCTAACTCCAACCACAGGAGACATGTCACCATGTTCAGTGAGTATCTACTACATATGTATATATTAAGGCTGGAGTACGAGCGCCTCACTGGTCCAATAGACCACCACAGACGGGGCCCCATAGGACTGATGTTCAGCCGGGGTTGTGGGATAAGCGCAATAAGACACCGCGCAATATGGATAGGATGGTTCGTTTCAAGTCAGTAAGTCTGACACTCGCATGATGTGAGTAATTATTTGGAGATGGTCCCTCCTCAAAAAAGAGACAAGACAAAAAAGTCGTTGCCAAATAATTTTAAACGCTGTAATTTATAAGTATTGTTGAATAGTTGTTTTTTAGTCTTTCACGTACAACTACTATACGTAATTTTGCACTGATATGGATTATAGTCTGGAATAACACATAGGCTATTTTTTTTCTGATTAGAAGAAACCGCTGGCCGAAGTTACTCGTATAATATATGCATTATTATTACCTATGTGGTCAAAGACAAACCATTGTCTATAATATAACAATGTTCCTGTGTGTTCCTCAGCCGTATATATTTCAAATCATAAAAACTAAAAATTATTTGATTTGATTATTATTTAGACACCACTTTCAGAAGGCGAAAGAAAAACATTGCGAGCTAACCTCTAATTCTTAATTTTATTAATTAAGAGTATATTTCAGGTTCGCTCATAGATTAATTAATTAATTTAAGTTTAAAATCGTCAATAAGCCTTGAGCAAGCGTGGTGATTAATCAGTGGCATGCAAACCTGAAATTAACGCTTATATGAATTCTGAATTTATATATAAGCGAGCCACTATGTATTTTCGTGCATCATATACCGACAGATAATGGGTTAATGCTAAAACCTTCTCCGTTTGAGAAGAGGCCTTTGCTCAGTAGTAGGAATATAAAGTTGATGATATGTATGTGCCCCCGCAGCGACGTTGGACGGCGGCGTGGGCTACGTGTTGCCGATAACGGAGAAGATGTACCGCCGCCTGCTGATGTTGCAGAACGTCATGAACAACTACTGCTGCCATGTCGCCGGCCTCAACCCGCGCGCCTACAGGTATACCACACTACTCAATGTTTATATGGAATATGCTTCAGCACTAATGGGTTGGCTCGACCGGAGTGAAACAACCATAGAGTTGTGTCTCGCCGTGTGAGTGTGGTTCCCGGAAGCCCAATCCTTTCCCTTCCCCAATCCCTCCGAAAATCTAAAATCTCCAAATCCGAAAATCTCCAAATCACAAAATATCCAAATCACAAAATCTCCAAATACAAAAAATCTCAAATTCTAAAATCTCCAAATCCCTAAGCTCCAAAAAGGTCGGCACCGCACTCCTCCATTCTTGCAATGCGGGTGTCCATATGTGGCTCTGATTGCGGTTACCAGAATTGAGTTCGCTCGTTTGCCGACTTATAACTTAAAAAAGTGCGCCAAATGAACATACGATCAACTTGGCACAAAAAACTAATTAATGTATTTCACAATATACTGTATAAGTAATTTGACACTGAAAAGCTTTCTAATATATTTTTATTACCAAAACTGAGCACAATAGCGTATGCCAATATTTATAGATACAATACAAATATGCTGACTCATCATTGTTCCTATTTCTCAGAAGCTACATTTACGGCTGATTTTTCAATAGTCAGATAAATAATATCTAAGGAATAAAATTGTTGCTGTCACTGTCTTATACAAACATTCTGACGCGATAGCATTATAATTATTCCCCAGGTAACTTTTATCTAACCATTGAAAAATCAGCCCTTAGCTAACCTTAAAAACCTTAAACCCTTAGGTAACAACAGGGCCTCGAGTCTACTGTTACAATAGTGTCAGAATAGTCGATCATTGGTTTCAAAATTGTTGATTTTGACAAGTTTGGTAATCTACTAACACGATAGCGTCATTATAACTTTCCAATGCCACTTCATTGAAATAATTCTTTAGAACGGTAATCTCGTACATAATGACAAATGAATATTTGATATAATGCAGTAAATTAATAAAAAAATGTCAGTTCCTTTATTCAATGATTTACGTTTAGAATATTAATGTGCAGTTATTGTTTATAATTCGTTACAAGACATCTCGTACTACAATTATATTACGACATCGCCGAACGCCAATGATCAGCCATTTTGAATTAACAGATTACGAATTTTTAGCAAAATGACAATGGTATCGTGTAGGAACGACAACACTTTGAAAATAGTAGACTCGGGCCCCTTGTTGAGTAATAGGATTTTCTGAATTCGTTCAACGTACAAGCAAGTAGTATAATTTTATTGTGTTATGGTGTATCCAGGACATACAAGAGCTCTCGGCGCTCGGTGGGCGGCGGGCCGGCGCGGGGCATGCTGGACGGGGACCTCGTCGCGCAGTACTCCACCATGCCCAACGCTGAGAAACTCGATGTAAGTACTCTACTGTTGTAAACTTGGTCACTGCCGATACTTATTATTGGATCTTGACGGGATTATGCTTTTGTTGCCTACTTAAACATTTCTATGTTGAATATAATTTAGATCTAAATCTGTAAAATTGGTATAACATTGTTTTAGAATGTAATTAAATATAACATTTCTTAAATCTGCGATTAAAAAGATTAAACCCGCTGCTCCTAAATATCGTAACGTGTTTTGTACCCTATATACACTATATAGCCTATATCCAAACTAATATTATAAATGCGAAAGTAACTCTGTCTATCTGTCTGTATTTTCTTCACGATTAAACTGCTCAACCGATTTCTGTGAAATTTGGTACAGACATAGTTTGGAACTCGAGAAAGGACATAGGATAGTTTTTATACCAAAAATTTGCCGGAAATCACTATTCCACGCGAACGGAGTCGCGGGCAAAAGCTAGTACTCGAATAAAAGAACTAACAAACACATAAAGAATTGTTCAATCCGAACCAGTAATTACGGAGATTAGCGCGTTCAAACAAACGAACAAACTACAGCTTAATAATTGTTGCGGCCTATTGCCTCACTGTTTTGTGATGTTACATCATATCGATCGACAAATACTTGCCAATGCAATTTTATCAGGCGTTAACATAACGTTTTATTTCTTTCAAACTTACAGGGCCTTAATAAAACAAGATTCTACTATAGTCTAGGACTAAACCATTGAGCCAGTTTTCGTATTTCGAATTGAAGGTAGATGACAATAAGATTCAAAATTCAAAACCCGACTCAATGGTTTAAACCTGGACTAAAGATAAACCTTGTTTTGTAATAAGGGGGACAGTGTCGACTTTATAGTTGTACGCACATTTTTTAAATTAAATAGATTTTTTTATGTACTTGGACTTTAATTAACCTCTATGTATAAACTCAATATACAACAATTACATGTTTTACTAGCTGACCCGGCAAACTTCGTTCCGTCTCATAATTAACTAATGTTTTCTAACCTTTTTTCTTTAAAACTTTTCCTGGACTTCAACGAGTATTTCAAGACCATAATTAGCTAAATCGGTCCAGTCGTTCTCGTTATTTATAAGATGTAAAATTTTGTTACAGATTGCAAAGAAAATCGGCACGAAGGTCGAAGAGATTATGTCTGATCTGTACGAAATAGACAGACTGACTGCCCACTTCTAGTACCACGTGTTACGTCATTACTTTTAAGTATATATGCTGTATATAAACTATGAATTAAAGTACTTTAGTTTTTCTATAACGGTTGTTTTATTTTGTTTTGAATATTATGATTAACCTGATTTCTAGGTGATTTGAAACAATGTATCTCTACCTAATAGATTCTCTGCAATATGTATTTGCGGATTAGGCCTCGGCAGAGCCAAGTTTTGGCACCAATGGGTCGGCTCGACCGGAGTGATACCACAGCGTCGCAGAAAATCCCCGTGTAACAACCACAGCGTCGTGTTACGCCGTGTGCGTAAAGTTACCGGAGGCCCAATCCTTCCCCTGCCCAAATCCCTAAATCTCCCAATTACCTAACCCCCAAAAGTTCGGCAACGCACTCGTTACTCCTCTGTTGTTGCGGGTGTCGAGGGGCGGCACTGATTTCTTACCATCAGGTAATCCGTATGCTAGTTTGCCGACATTTCATTAAAAAAAATTAAAGCATTTTAGTATTCTCGGGATCACATGTTCTGGCTCGACTGGAATGATCACAAGAAACTTACCTCGTATGGGATCCCTCGAAGGGATTTTGACAAAATACATCTCTCATCTTCCATCTCCAATTTCTAAAATACCCCATTCCTCAATTCCCTAACCTTAAAGGAATAATCTCCGGTGTTGCGAGTGTCTAGGGGGAGCGCCGATGGCTTACCATCGGTGATCTATCATCTCATTTGCCGTCCTAATACACAAAAATATTCAGATACTATGCAAGTTGATAAAATTTTGTAGAATCCATAGCATTACTGAAATATTAACTTTAAGTGTTGGAGAGTCACGCACGCATTGACTGCACGGTTGTTGTGGTGGCTGGGCAACTGGCTGCCGTGCAAAGTGTCGCGGGTTCGATTCCCGCACGGAACAACTCTTTGTGTGATCCACAAATTGTTGTTTCGGGTCTGGGTGTCATGTGTATGTAAAATTGTATGTTTGTAACCGCACCCACGACACAGGAGAAAATCCTAATGAGAGGCAACGTTTTTTTTAAAAGAAAAAAAAAGTCATGCTGCGGCACGAACGGGTCGGCTCGACTGGAGTGACCACGGCATCACATAAAACCAGCGTAAAACAACCACAATGCTGTGTTTGTAAGGTAGGTGTAAGTAAGGTTACCGGAGGCACAATCCGTCCTCTCCGCCAATCCTTAACCCTAATCCCCAAAAGCATAAAAACTAAAACCAACTACGACAAAAAACGACGCTGCAAAAGTATGAAACAAGATTTTCAGAATACTGAAAGGCGAAGTCACACGTTACATATAGGTACCTACCTACCATAGCACTTTGACAACGTTATAAATATCCAAAACCCTCCTTTTGCTTTGCCGTAGTCGGGTAAAAAGGCCGCAACGAACTCCTACGGTGTTGCAGGTATCTGTGGCCGATTGCTTACCATCAGGTATATGTCATCAAAAAAAAGCAATTAATATATTCTCCTACTTTAAACTTCATGCTTACTAACGCAAGATCTTAAATCACAACCAATACTACAAACATACGATACAAGACGGAAGAATAACAAAACTTCATACCTAACACAACAAAAAAAAAAACAAAAAAAATAAACTTCGTTCGAACGCGTTCACTTTCAATACATATCAACATTCACGCTAGAAACGGCACAATCACAAAATAAAACAAAATCCTTGATTACGTCACGCACACTAGCTAAGAACTTGCACACGGAAATGAAGCAACTAGACACACTAGCTTATTGTCTTATTTTATAATGATGTTTGAACAAAAGAAACATTTTAATGCAGGTCTTAATTATTGAGGTACAGTTAGGTCTTTATACGGAGACGCGTTTTTTTGAGGGGTCAAAATCATTAAGAAAGAAAGAAAAACATTTATTCTCGCGCAAGCGCACACACAGAAAACAAAAATACAAAAAAAGATATACTAAAAATAAATTAATAATAAAAAAAAAACAAAAATTTGGTCTATGGTCCACAGAGTATAACATTATGCGCGAGGTCGCGATACGACGCGGTCTTAGTGGCCATCTTAGGCACGAGGGGGCTGGTTCGAAACCTGGCAAGTACCAATGTGACTTTTTCCGAGTTATATGTACTTTCTATGATTATTTAGACACCACTGACATTCGGTGAAGGAAAACATCGTGAGGAAACCTTTTTTTTTTTTTTTTTTTTTTTTTGTCAGGGGAAAATCATCCAATGACTTCTCCCGCCCAGGGTAAGGCGAGAGAGAGTGTCAGACTCTTACTGACTAAAAACCCCCCCGTTCCTTCTCCTGCTCTGGGCCGAGGTCGCGGTGCCTCATTGCGCTTACCCCGCAGCCCCGGCTAAACATCAGCCCTTTAGGGCCCCGACTGTGGTGGTCTATTGGCTCTTTGAGGCGCGCGCGGAACGCTACGCGCCGTACGCTCGGGTCCAGTTCTGGTCGGGCGGCGAGCTACCCTTACTCGCCGTCCGCAGACCCGCGCTTACGGTGGCCGGAGATCATCCCTCGATCCCCGACGTCCGGAATGTCGCCTTCTGCGGCGGCTGGGGCGCGAGGAGGATAGTTCCCTCACGCGCTCCGCCTCCTCCTTTGCGAGCATAACTGCTTCGCAGAAGGAGGAGATAGCTTCCCAGTTCCTCTCACGCTGCACCATGGCCTCGATTAAGGCCGGGCGCGAGAGGTCGCCGCCGCCGATCACTTCCCTGAGAACACGGCGGTGCTCAGCCCAAGCAGGGCACTCCGCCACCGTATGCTCCACCGTGTCCTCCAGGAGATCCTCACAATGACGACACTCGGGCGTTTCCTCCCGCTGGATCCGAAACAGGAACCTACCAAAGCTGCCGTGCCCGGTAAGCACCTGCGTCAGGCGGAAGGTGAGGACGCCGTGGCGTCTCTCAAGCCACTCCTCAAAGAGGGGTCTTACCGCTGCTATAGTAGCGTGCCCGGCCCTCGGTTGCGACAGTCGCTGCTTCCACTCAGATCGTGAGGAAACCTGGACTTATAATTTCTAATTAGGAAGTTTGGAATCGTCAATCCGCCTTGAGCGGGCTTGGTGATTAATGTTCAAACATTATCCGTGTGAGAAGAGCCTTTCGCTCAGCTGTGGGCACTTATAGAATAATAATGACGGTGGCGATGAATATCATCTTTAGAGGTATGAGGAACAGGGTGGAAAGTTCCTCATCCTCCATTGAAAAGGGAGGATCCTCCGACCAGGCGAGGTGTTCGTGCCTGGTGGGCTACTGCCCGACGGTTGTTGTCGGGATATCTGTATAGGTGCTAATTGTGTGGAAAACTCTTATAGCGCGATGTAGACTCTTGCACGTGATTGGTGCTGTTGTTTATGTAGTGCGCTAGATGTCGCTACATCACTCCCCTCCGAGACCGGAGGTCGTCAGCTGGTTGAGTCGTCTGTGAGATGCTTGTCGAGCCAGTTGATGGTTTCAGTGCGTCAAATCTGTCTGCGAAGATGCCCCAGTGAGTCGGGTGGTGCAGTGCTGAAGAGTGGCTAGCTGCTGCGTCGACCAGGAGAGGGAGTACGTCTCTGCTTGCTGACCGGCCGGTGCAGTATGCTGTGCCGAAGATGCTGATGAGGCTGTAGGTGCTGACCAGGAATGCGCGTTGGCTGCATGCTGGTGGTCAGGGAACCCGTTGTAGCCATGGAAGCTGGCTGACTGTAGACTCGCTGCTTGAAAGCTCGACGTAGTTGCACGAAGGCTGCGTTGATGTTCATGCTCGGGGTCACCAATTTAGAGGTATGAGGAACAGGGTGGAAAGTTCCTCATCCTCCATTGAAAAGGGAGGATCCTCCGACCAGGCGAGGTGTTCGTGCCTGGTGGGCTACTGCCCGACGGTTGTTGTCGGGATATCTGTATAGGTGCTAATTGTGTGGAAAACTCTTATAGCGCGATGTAGACTCTTGCACGTGATTGGTGCTGTTGTTTATGTAGTGCGCTAGATGTCGCTACACATCTAACGACTTGAGAGGGAGTGTCAGACTCTTATTGAACTTAAAACTACTTACCCCGTTATTTCCTCTGCTCAAAACCTGGGTCGCGGTAGGTACATCAATCCCTTGTCCGAAACCATGGCTGAATCTGTGGTGGCCATGAACTAAAAATCCTGGCTTTTTACTTTAAGGGTTGTGGCCTATTCGCTCTTTGAAGTGCACGTGATATGCTACGCGCCTTATACTCGGGTGTGGTTCTGGGTGGATGGAGTTGTGGGGTAACCGCAATAAAGTACTGCATCCTCGGCCTGGAGTAGGCGAAGTAACGGGGTTGTTCTTAGTCAATAAGAGTCCACTCCCTCTCAACCTACCATTGGTGAAAGAAGTCACTAAATGATTTTCCCTCTCAAAAATATATCGATTAACTTCATGTTACATAGAAGCCTAAATAGCTTGTATTCCTGTGCCATACTTACGCACTTATTACCATCTCTACAACATTCGCATAGAAAATTATATCACATTTCTTACATTTCCTTATAAATCTGATATTAATGCAATTATCTAACTGCAAGCTTACTTATTATTGTGCTCGACTGTACCAACAAAAGTTTCCGGTACGCAAAAGGCGCGCACGCTGTTACCTAACTAGCATTCTGTAGTTGTTGTTATTTATTTTTCATTCTATGAGAACAGAGTACCTATAGATAGGTAGATATATCTGTATTCTGCATTCTGATTCAGCGTAACTTTGTATTGATACGACCGTCTTTTAATTGTGGGACAGCTAAGCCTTGGCACGAATGAGTCGCCTCGATCGGAGAGATGCGATGGCCTCACAGAAAACCGGCGTGAAACAACGACAGCGTTGTGTTTCGCCGTGTGAGTGAGGTTACCGGAGTTCCAAACTTCCTTTCCCCTCATCAATACCAAATCCTTAAATATCCCAAAAAGGACGGCAAAGTACCTACTCGTAACTTTTCTGTTGTTGCGGGTGTCCATTGACAGCGCCGATTGCTTACCATCAGGTAATCCATGTGCTTGTTTGCCGTCCTCACATAGAAATAACTTCAAATCTTCCAGGGAAAAGCCCGACAACGCACT